CCCTTCTTGTATAATTTCTGTTGTCCAAACCCTGCAGAGAGCCGCAGATAGCATATATTCCGGGCCAGCCGCCTTCGAATGGTTCCTTCCGTGTTTCCATGCCTCGTAATTGCATTGCTGTGCCACTGGGTGGGATGGGTTCCTGCTGCAGGCTGCCATGAACACGACTTTGAGAGTGACAGGGGCGAGGGCAAATGGGGAGCGTGCTGTACAGTATTGTATTGTAGAGCACACTACAGTGCGGTACAGTACAGAACCGTGTTGTGCAGTACTGTACTGATCAAAGAAGAGAAAGCCAGCATGTGCTTTCACTGCTCACTGTTCGAAGAGGAGAAAGCTAGCAGAAACCCCAACAGTACTGTACAGTAAGCCCTACAGTGAACCCTAAACCAAGTACAGTAAGTGTTTACTGCAGCTCGATTCTTATCATACAGTATATGTGTCATATCAGGTCATTTCGTCGGCTTTAGGAGGCACGAATATGCTAACTGCACTTATTTTGTTGATATTCACTGCAGTTATGCGACAGGGAACTACCGAAGTCGTAACGCATGTCAGCAGATCAGGGCAGACCTTCGCAGAAGCGAAAAAACGCTGGGTCGTAACGTTCCGCGGTGTAGTTGGTGATACGGGTTGCTTGCAAAAGTCCTTTTAGTACGAAAATTTGGTACTGGAAATACGTCGTTTGGCGTCCTGGCTGGATTGTGCTTGGTTGTAGTACAACTTTAGTAGTGGAAATGCCTCGTTTGGCGTCCTGGCTGGATTGCGCTTGGTTGTAGTACAACTTTAGTGCTGGAAATGCCTCGCTTGGCGTCCTGGCTGGATTGTGCTTGGTTGTAGTACAACTTTAGTAGTGGAAATGCCTCGTTTGGCGTCCTGGCTGGATTGCGCTTGGTTGTAGTACAACTTTAGTGCTGGAAATGCCTCGTTTGGCGTCCTGGCTGGATTGCGCTTGGTTGTAGTACAACTTTAGTACTGGAATTGCCTCGTTTGGAGTCCTGGCTGGACTGTGCGTGGTTGTAGTACAACTTTAGTGCTGGAAATGCCTCGTTTGGCGTCCTGGCTGGATTGTGCTTGGTTGTAGCACAACTTTGATACTGGAAGTGTCTCGTTTGGCGTCCTGGCTGGATTGTGCTTGGTTGTATGTAGTGCAGCTTTTGTACTGGAAATGCCTCGTTTGGCGTCCTGCTGGATTGTGCTTGGTTGTAGTACAACTATACTAGTGGAAATGCCTCGTTTGGCGTCCTGGCTGGATTGCGCTTGGTTGTAGTACAACTTTAGTACTGGAAATGCATCGTTTGGCGTCCTGGCTGGATTGTGCTTGGTTGTATTACAACTTTAGTACTGGAAATGCCTCGTTTGGCGTCCTGGCTGGATTGTGATTGGTTGTAGTACAACTTCAGTACTGGAAATGTTTGGCGTCCTGGCTGGATTGTGCTTGGTTGTAGCACAACTTTGGTACTGGAAATGCCTCGTTTGGCGTCCTGGCTGGATTGTGCTTGGTTGTAGTATAACTTTAGTACTGGAAATGCCTCGTTTGGCGTCCTGGCTGGATTGTGCTTGGTTGTAGTACAACTTTAGTACTGGAAATGCCTCGTTTGGCGTCCTGGCTAGATTGTGCTTGGTCGCAGTACAACTTTAGCCCTGGAAGTGCCTCTTGTCGCTTGCAAGCCCACGGTTCGGTAGAAAGTTTCAGACGCGGTGTGTCTGTGTGGAAACCATGTTTTGTGTCAGGCGCGGTTACTTGGGCGAAACAGCAAATGTTACGACTTCTCTTACTGTACAGGAAGCCCAACGGGCAAAGTGGATGGCAACCCTTCTTGTATAATTTCTGTTGTCCAAACCCTGCAGAGAACCGCAGATAGCATATATTCCGGGCCAGCCGCCTTCGAATGGTTCCTTCCGTGTTTCCATGCCTCATAACTGCCTGTCACATTCATTGCTGTGCCACTGGGTGGGATGGGTTCCTGCTGCAGGCTGCCATGAACACGACTTTGAGAGTGACAGGGGCGAGGGCAAATGGGGAGCGTGCTGTACAGTATTGTATTGTAGAGTACACTACAGTGCGGTACAGTACAGAACCGTGTTGTGCAGTATTGTACTGATCAAAGAAGAGAAAGCCGGCATGTGCTTTCACTGTTCACTGTTCGAAGAGGAGAAAGCTAGCAGAAACCCCAACAGTACTGTGCAGTAAGCCCTACAGTGAACCCTAAACCAAGTACAGTAAGTGTTTACTGCAGCTCGATTCTTATCATACAGTATATGTGTCATATCAGGTCATTTCGTCGGTTTTAGGAGGCACGAATATGCTAACTGCACTTCTTTTGTTGATATTCCCTGCAGTTTTTGCCCTTTCGGATGCCCATCTTTGCATCGAGGATGGCATATGCTAACTGCAGTTTTCTTGACATGCTAACTGCATTTCGCCTCGGTATGCTGGTGCTTTTCGTGTCCCCACACGAGAAGATAGCATATTTTGGACCCCTCTATATGCTAACTGCAGTTGTTTTTTTTGTCTAATTTCATCCGGGATTCCAAACAGCATCATATGCTAACTGCACTCCCAAAAAAACGCATATGCTAACTGGTGTTCTTGAACAGTAATTCGGATGGGACTGTTGTGGCTGGTATTGCTACTCTTGAACCTATAAAAACTGCTTATGTATACACGCCACAACAGTCCTTTCTGTATTCATTACCGTACTACCAGTACTACTAGTACTTCAAGAGCTACTGGTACAAATACTATTACTAGTACGACAAGTACTACTTTCATCCAGGGCTCAAGACTGCCACGGTCACTGCCCCTGCCGCTGCTCCTGCTCCTGCCACTGCTACTTACTGCTACTGCTGCTACTGCTACTGTTGTTGCGAATGTTGTTGTTGTTGTCAGTGCTGCTACAGCATTGTACATTAAACCTTTATGCTGCAGGGGCCATGCTAATCTTAACATGCGCTTCAGCATGCTTTTGGTACACTTTCTCGATTTGCGCACGATAGCTGCAGACATGAGCAACAAGGTGCGTCTCCTTGCTGGAGCAGCGTGGCCAGGCAGCGGGCAACGGAGGTGTCATGCGCAGAAGGCAGTTCGCGCGCGGTGCCGCGCAGCCCTTGGATAAGGATCCTAGCGGCTTGCAAGTCGTCAAGCGGGGGGATGCGCTCCAAAAGCCGGTCCTGGTCCGAGCGCTTGCGCTGCAGCTGGTGGGCCACGAAGGCATCGTGCCCGACAGGGGAACCAAGCACGAAGCACCAGTCGCCGACCCAGACAGGCTCAGATGCTTAGGCGAATCCGCGCGCGGTTCGAAAGCGCTGCGGCGAGCAGGTCGTAAAGAGGGCGAACGCTCGGGCGACGATATAAACATCGTCGAGGAAAGCGAAAACAGCTTCCCTGTCGAGGAGCTGGATGTGGAGTTCGACGAGAGATCGTGCTGGGCGAGTGCATACAGCGCGGGCATTGGCGGGTCCCCTTGCTCCCCGCCTTCGCCTTGGAGCGCATCGTGGGCGTGATTGTCGTCATGAAACCACGTATTCGTGCTAGGGGTGGCATAGAACTGCCGGGCGAAGGGGAGCGCAGGGTTGCCATCCAAGGCATCGAGCATGGAACCACGGGCAAGATGGTTAGAGGCACCAACGGCGTCGACAGAGCGGAGCCGCCTTTGTGCCGACTCGGGTGCTGCGGCCGTACTGGTAAGGCATACAAGCGGCCTGCAGGTGCGGCGCGAAGTGCTGTGCTAGCACCCCGGCTAACCAGTCGCCGCAGTACGTCACCAACATCAAGCGCTCGCACGCCACCGTTGGGCTTTCGGAGCGCGACGAAGCGTCCGACCCGGAGACCTTCAAGCACAACGGCAGGGGCTGTTGCATTGGCGAACCGGGTTAATCTTGAATCGGGTCCGTCCTAGCATGGATCCATGCTTGGATGAATGCCAAGCAGGCTGATACGGATTGGATGTTTACGTTGACACTCTCTTGGAAACCCTCGGTTGCACCAAGATGTGCCGACCTACTGTGCATTTTTAACATTTTTTAACCATATGTAAAGCATTTGACGTTGCATGGCGTGATGGTGCCATGTTGTGTTTGCACAAAGCTGACTTATTCTGGCATTGACCAACGACTTAATCTCAGATCGCTCGGCAGCCGAACGTTTTGATTCCCAGTTTTTCGGACACGTGGGATGTTGAGGATGGTGTTGGTTCGGGAGCAGTCCTGACTGGTTTTCTTTTAATATCTTGATTAATGGGTTTGCCGCGGCAATCAAGCGAGCATGCAATGGGGTTTCTTGTAGTTTCTTCGGGGAAAATGTACAAGTCAAACTCTTTCTGTATACGGATGACATCGTCATTTTGAGTGATAGCCCCGCCGACCTGCAGCGCGTGCTTGGTGCAGCTCATGCTTGGGCGTTGTGTTGGCAATTTCTCGGTTTCGCGGCTGCCCGTCGTTGCGGCACGTTCTGCTGCAAGGGAACGCGCCTCAGGGGCAGAGAGGCTTCAGTTGCTTCGCCCTGGCCCTTCGCCCACGCGCTTTTGCCCGCCCCGTGGCTCGGGCAGCGCGAGCAGTAGCATGCACCACGTCATCGTTTTGATCCTTCAGCATCGAATGCAGGCGCGTCGGCAAGACGATGCTCGTCGGGGGCAGCTTGAACATCGGGGGACGGGTGCTTGAAGGTGCGCGTGATTCTGACGGCGCGCAGCTGCGGGCGCAGCAGCGCAGAGACTGGTTGCGGGAGCAGGCCTTGACGGGCTGCTTGGCTGGGGTCCAGGCGTCCAATCATGATGCTTGTGTCAAAAAATGGCCTGAGCCCAAATGCTAGAAAAGCAATGACAAACTGATCTGGCGTCCGCTCCGGTTGGAGTTTATAATTTGTTTGTCCGGTTTTTGGTGGGCGAAACCAGAGGCATTCTTAGAACACCGCCGTGCGCGAAGTGCGCAATACATCCGACGAACCTTGCACATGTGACCATCGTATACTCTTCTATCGGGTTGCGGCGCATCCGAGGATGTGTGTGCAATCCGAGCTGGTTGACTACTTGCGCCAGTTAGCGGAGGTTTTGTGTGTGGGACAGTATCGTCATTTGCGTCTGCATCCATAGGGTTGACAGGCCAAAGCCTTTGCCATGAAAGAGTCGATCGTTTCAGAGGCCTCCAAAGCGCGGAAAGTGCGGGACTTGGTGAGTAATTGCAAAAAAAAGGGCATCCATGCGGAGGCTCGAAACTATGCAGGAAACGACGCACAGAGCCCATCACCCCGAGTAGGCGCATGCCGCAGATTCGAAGTCGCAAGCTGTGATTCTTCGGTTCCTGCGTGCAGGATTCTGGGATGTGTTCCACCGAGGCCAGAGAATTTGGCCTCATGTTCATCATGTTGGCTTCACTCGGGCCTCAAGGAACCCGGAAGGGTGAATTTCGTCCGATCACCCCGGCGAAGACGGAACTTTATCTTCCAGACATCAACGGAGCTTGGGCCTGACGTGGCATTCACATGGATGCGAAACTACGAAAAAAAGTGTCGTGCGCCCACGGATTCACGAGGCTGGCTGGGTCCGTCCTGGAAGAAGTATGTGACTCAGACCGCACCTGCTCGGACAGTGGAAATCTGTGCACGGCCAGAGGCAATATCCAGTCGGCGCAGCACGGGCACAGTGTTGGATGCTTACTGTACATTGTGTAGCAATTTATAGACAGCCTTGCTAAGCTCGTGTTTCCGACATCGCAGGACGACCTCGCACACGGCACAGAGAAGGGGCCGGATCAGACTCAGAAGCTCAGAGGATCCAGCCGAGCACCGCAAGACATGAGGTCGGCGACACAAGCTTTGAGGAAAGGCCCGTACCACGGACACTGTGACAGCATTTGAGTCATTTGAGTCGTATCTCATTTTGTGCAGGCGAAGCGTCCAAGTCAGCTCCGGTGCTGTTCCGGCAGGAGCGGCGGCACAGCGGCACAGCGGCTGCGGCACAGTGCAAGCATGAGCTGAGCAGTGAGTGCCGAGAGTGCAGGGAGTGGAGGAGCAGAAGCAGAAAGACAAACGCGGCGCAGGCTCCTTCACTGTCGCACCTGCTGAATACACATGCCCGTCCCCTCTCACGATGTCGAGCGCAGGAGGAAAGCCGAAAGTACCATCCATCGGCGTGGAATTGAGGTCTCCTTACGACACTTCCGCGAAGAGATCCGCCGGGGTTTCTAAGTTCGGCCGCTTCTGCCAGGAGGCTTGCAGTGGGTGACGAGGCCAGGGGGCAACAGACTCCCATGCTGAGGGAGTGAGCGACTCACAGGTGTCACCAGTGCACAGGGAGTCCGCACACCGTAACTACGATATGCCGCAGCGCTTCTGCAACCGTCAGTCGAGTTGACAACCCAGGGGTCAGGTCGAGACATTGATTCGTTTCGGAAGGATTGACGGAAATCAGCCACACTAGTAGCCTTCGGATCGGAGAGTGTGTGAGTACACTTCTGCTGCTTTGCAGGGTACGTTCACACCTCCTGGATCGATGCGCGGCTCGCTGGCCGAGGCCAAAACGCATGAACCTCAGCTGTGCCCCACCGTTGCAACGCCTGTGTTAAGGTACTCCAGCCTTGTGCAAGGCGTTCATGCTTTTGCTTACCGAGGTGGTGGTTTCAATCGCGAAAGCCACCCTTAGGCCTTGCCCCCGTCATACACGTCTCGATTCAAGCCGCACCGATGCATTCAATTCATTCAAACATCCATTCGTTCGCAAGCCGGGCAGTCCGGGCGGTGGGATTACCAGAGATGCAGAGTTTCGGTCGCACTGGGGACGTTAGATGTAGAACTCATGTGCCGTAAGCCTCCTGCCAGTCGAAAGAACGCAGACGGATTTTCTTTCGTCCAGGAAGCCAGCTGCTTGGTGGGCCTGTCTGATCTGCCTCCTGGCTCTCGACGTGAAATCGCCAAGGTCGCGCTCGGGTTCTTCCTTGCAGAGTTCTGCGCACGAGACGAGCAAGGCACGGCGGACGGCGCATGTCTTCCAAATCGCGTGCGCAGCTTCGCCCTGCGGCGAGGCTGTCCTCCCGCGTTTGGCATCTTCAAGCCAAAGCGCCGGCCTTTTGCCGCTGTCGCGGCCGTCGCCCTGGCCCTTTAGCTTCTCAGGTCCCATCGCTCATTTCGGTCCACGGCCGATGGCTCCTGGAGCCCAGCGTGCTGTGCTGCTCGATGCCACGTCTTCCTGAGAGCGCGTGCGCTGCGAGGAGAGAGCCTCCTTCCGATGCTTCCCACGCCACAGCCACCACAGCCGCAGCCTCGCCTTGGGTCTTGGGGACAAACGGCGGCTTTCTGAAGACTGGTGGCACTGAGGATCCTGGAGGAGGAACCATTGCATTTGCCACCGATTCAAGAGGCATTGCGATGTGGCAGTGGCAGAGTTAGGTGTTCGGGCGCTACAGACTTTGTGATTTCAGGCCGTGGTCCCAGTTCATGATCAGAGCCTCAAGTCTGGCGAAGAGGTTCTCTTCTTCCATCTCCTTTTCGATGCTCCCTTTGCATTGGGATCGCAGGATGCCACTTGGTCTGCCCTGAACTACATCCGAGCATGTCACAGGCAGTTAAATTGCCATGAGAAAAGACTTTGCCTTCTCAAGAGAAACAGAAAGCCTCCTACGCCGAGGGAGCAGATCTTGCCGGTGCCTTCGAGTTTTGTTTGGCGCTCGGGGTTTTCCCAGTACCCAGATGGAGGGGGTGCACCTTGCTTGCTGTAGAAGCTCCTGGGAGGGCAGGCCGGGCAGGGAAGGCAGTGCCAGACAGGTGACCGGGCATTCGCGCAGGGTGGACGCCGTTGCCAAGGCTGCACTCTGACATACTCTGACTCTTCACCGACTCACGGCAGCTCTCCCAAGATCAGGCAAGTACTGATGCGGAGCTGTTGACCTTGTGTGCAATTGGCACCGGCCCTTGAGTTCCAACGGGGCACGTCATCTTTCAGAGTGGTCCGATCTCCGCTCCGGCACAGGACGCCTCGCAGAAGTGGAGGCCGGGCAAGAGTGAACGGAATCCGATATCTTCCGATTCCCGGTACTTTTCGGCAGCCACCCAGGATGTCGACCTCTCAAGTAAGCTCCTGTCCGATGCCACCATCGCCCGGTTCTGCCAGGTGCGAAGTGCTACAGATCCTTTCGAAATTTGTGCTTGTTGTTCCAGACTTCTCAGGATGTTCTGTTGGCAGATCAGAACCTCCGCACGCTCCGAAGGCATGAAATGCCAAACGACTTTCATGTCCAGATGCAGCATCATGTGTGTCGCAGCTCGTAGCCAGATGCCAGGCTCAGCTTGAAAGACTCGCACGCTGCCAGACATTCGCAAGCTGCGCTGATCAGGCGGGTTAGTGGTTAGAGTTCAACCGAAGGTGACTGTACTGGGCTGGGCCGCTGGGCCTAAGGCTGCTTCAGAAAGACGGAGCGACGAAGCTGAGCTTCCTCGACCTCAGCGGTGTTTCTGTGCATCGATTTGGCAGTTTTCTTTCTATCGGCGGTTGCCGGTGCATCGGGTTTGCTGTGCTGAAAACTTGAGGTTTCGATGAGCTTGCGGAATCTGCGGCTTTTTTGTGAGACTGCCGCAGCATCAGGAGGAATATTCTTGTGCTTTGGTTTCCGAAGGCGCTGTGAGGACCAAGGTACTGTACGCCTCGCGCACCTACCTGCCACTTTTTGTGACATTTCCCTTGCTCCATCTCTATTTGAACTTTCACTCGCATTCGACACAGCTTCCCTGCTGCAGTCTGCGCAAACGCTCAGGTCCAGGGCCACCCGTCTCTCGAGACCCTGAAGCTGAGCAACACCGGGCCGGGCCGCTCAGAGCAGAACGCAGAACACACGGCGACACAGCTGTTAGCGGTCAGAGCTTCTTTGGAGGTTGGGCGGCGCCATGGACCTCAAGTCCTGCCTCGCGCAGCTGCTTCGAGACAGCCGCCTCCAGGCCGCCGCTGCGCCGCTGGCCGCGCGACCTTTGGGTGGTTGGGTCTGCGTCCTCCTTCAGCAGGTGCTGGACCTGGGCTGGAACTGCTTCCCTGCCGAGGCTGACTGCGACTAGGGCCGTGGCCGCGGTGGCAGCACATGTCGCAGGAGCTGAAGTTCCTCGGAGAGCTCATTGCAAAAAACAGAAATGCCAGAGCCTTGCTCTGCTATGCTCTGCTCGGCTGCGCAGGCATTCTGACCCCGAGGTGAGGCACCTGAGCCTGGCCAACTGTGCATCGAGCAGCCAGAAGAACCACAGCATCTCCCCTTGTGTGTGCGCTGCGTCGTAGGCCTGTCTCTCTCCTGCCCCTGCCTCAGAGCAGTAGATGATGGGATGCCGGGCCGGAGCCAGGTACTTTCTCGAGCAGCTCGTGAACGGGACCTCCCTTCGCAGCCTGGACATCTCCATGAACCGCCTGGATTTCCGTGGTGCGTGAGCAACTCAACAGTACGTGCCATGCAAAGTACGTGTATGTGGCTGTATGTGTATATATTTCATTTATGTAGAAACTATGTATGCAGTATACGGTTACAGCTGTGTCGACCGTCCGATGAAATGATAAGTAGGCAGAAAATGATAGGTGCGCATGTCAAGTACAGCATGGTGAAGCATTAAATTTGTGGTCTCGTGTCTAATTTATGCAAGAGAACACAGTGCGCTGTGTGGGCAAAGGCCAGACATGATCCATTAGGCACCTGGGGAGACATTGTGAGAAGACTGAGACATCTTTGTGGGGTACCAGTGTATATGCAAGTATAACGTATTAATTAATATCAGTATCTGTATGTATTTCTATTCATGCATCATGCAAGCAAGGCGGGCTGATGTCCCCTGCTAATCTTGCAATTATCTCTGAGCCATTTTGAGTCGTTTGGCACCCTGATGGACACAACATTTCAGGAAATACCATCTTCAGGGCTCCACTGCAACCGTGATTTTATCTTAGCATGTTCGAACTAGGTGTGCAGAGGCTCTTCTAGTTGCTGGTGGTGATTATCAGTGGTCCCGAACCTCCCCTGACTTGTTCGAGCGCGAGTGCCAAAACAAGTGTTGGAACTTTGCCATGTCTTGATGCAGAGTGGGCATATACTAACTTCTTCTGCCTTCTTTAGTATTACGTCCTTGTTGATTCGTAGAGTCGTACACGAACACAGGCTTGTCCGTTATGTATTCGTAATACAGCAGCAACAGCAACAACGGCAGCAGCAAGGTAGGACTATTCCGTTAAAGCCTTTTAGTTGAACTTGTACAGGGTGTTGGTGTACAGACAGACCTATCAACAGTCATCATCCAAAGCACAAGAATGAACAGTGTCACGTGGGTACACATCTGCAGATTAGTTTTTGTAGCCGTAGATTGACATCACTGACATAGCAATGTGATGCGGTGTGCAAAACAAAATGTTGCCATGTGCATAAATATATATATATGTATATGTATGTATGTGTGTGTGTATGCACTCCTCCGGAATCCCGGGACCGCATGTGTGTACACGAACATACTGGGTGACATGTACATGTATGACATGCAGTTGTGTCTGCACATTCTGCAAGAGACAGAAATCCTTCCGGAAAGACGGCACGCAATTGATCAAACGAGCGTTTGTGATTCAATTGGATGGCTTTGCTGACATCTTGAATCTGTCGCAAAAGCACCAAACTCGGGAGCCATAGAAACGGCGGTAATATTCCCTGAGTCCCAAAAAACCCCAAAAAGAAAAACCAAATCTTTAGAAGCCAGGAATCAGCATGTTTCTCGAGGCATCCCAACAAAAAACACACGCAAAATCTCAGAGCATTCCCGGAGGCAGGGACCGAAAAAATGTACCGCATTCAGAAACCAGGAATTTCGAGGCAGCCCCAAAGCAAAACACAAACATCGACACACAGAAGCCATAAATGAGCATATCTCTCGAGACAGTCATGAAGAAAACGGCTCGACGCTCACAGAAAACGTTTGCGGAACTGTCGCACGAAATGGCCTGTGGACCAGCTCGAAATGTGGCCCTGAGAGATATACTGTTTTGGCTGCGCAGGTTGGGGTGTTTGTTTTGTTTTGGGATTGCCTGGAGCAACAAGATTACTTCAACTTTTCGGTTCGCCTTTTTTGAGCCTGCCTCGAGACATGGCCTTCTGAATAACTGCAATGCGAGTTCTTTGTTGTTTTCTGGGACTGCCCCGAGAACATATCATGTTCGTTGTTTTTGGTATCTTGGGACTGCATCGAGAAACATGCCAATGCTTGAGTTAGGGACTGGTTTGAGAGATATGCTCAGAGTTGTGTGACAGGGTATCTTCTGGAAAGACTGCGCATGCACATGATATACGTAAGTAGGCTAGAAGTTCACGCTACTGAACCGCTCAACGGTGAGGCTACGGCGTCGCCCTGATCAGCAACTGGCAGCAAGCTCACAATGTTTATGCAGCCGAAACTTCACGGTATGATACATTCACGAGAGTTGAATCATACAAGTTCTTCGAACTTGCAGGCCCCGGAGATTTCTTCTCCAAATAAGAAACTCCTTATGTTTCGTGTTTCGTTCATCTCTGTTGCCACGGTCAAGGTCGGAACTGCTCTCTCAGCATCTCGAGGATCGATTTCTCCGTATTCTACTTCACTCCACTGATATGTTGAAAAGTACAAGATATCCTCCGGGTTGATTGCCGCTTGGGCCTCTGCGGCCCGTGGTGACCCCTGGTGATCTGCACACTCCATCCAGCTTTGATGATGAATGCCAGGCAACTGGAGTAATGCGTCCTGCCCCTTGCAAAGCCCTATGCCTATGAAGATTCCCTGAGTGCTCCCCCGTCAGGCCTGTTGGCCGAAACAGCATCTAGTCTGGCATGCATTGCCAATGGCTCCCATTCATCATCGAAACAGTGAATGAGCTCTCTGAGTTGTCAAGAGGTTTGTCTTGATCATGGTTTTAACCGCAGTATTGTGACACACGGCAGAAGACTCACTGAGGCAGAGATGTGGGGTGAGGTTTGTTGCGCCGGTTTTCTCACGTTCAGTCGCCTCGTAGTAGCACTCAGTGGTATCTCTCGAAGAGCTTCAATGAATTGCGGTTGGCTCACATGGCTTACAACCTTGACTCGACGCTGGGTGAATCCATCAGTGTCCTTTACCTAGTCTCCCCACTGAAATCTGGATCAAATCCTGTCAAGAATAGCTTGCCACTCCTGGAATTGGTCCGAGCCTCCAAAACAGGGGAGTCATTCCACGTGCCTCGGAGTTGTCTCTACACGCGCCACCCACGTCACGTGCACGGGTCGCTTCACGTCACGTTCCTTCTGGCCTAGGCTCTCTAAGAACTCATCAACTGACCGGAGCCCTTAGCAAGTTCTTCTGAGTCTCATGATATGAGGAACCTCCGGATACGTTTCTTCCCTGAAGAAAGGCTTCTGATACGCATCTGCTGCTGTGCACGCACCTTTTTAGACGCATGCCCACCTCCACTTGGAATCCTGCGTGGGTGTCACATCAGTAGGGGCTGCTGGACAAAAAAGGCATGTTGCAAAAAAGGGCTGCTTGGAACTAATCCAGGCGTCTTCGGCAACTTTGTCCCACCATTGCTCCTTATCCCCTTGTGCTGTCAAACTATATGTGCGACCTTCGAGCTCCTCGTGACGGGCCCGCTCGCGCTCCATAGCCCTCCGACGGCCTGGCATCTAGAACGAGTTCTTCCTCGGAGTCTGCAGCTTCGGTTACTCCTGAGCCTTTGCCAAGACGGTTGCTCCTCCTCCTCAGGGTCCCATCACTTTCCTCCTCGTTTAGGTTGCTAAGATCCTGGCGGGTTGAGGCCTTGAGGGTTCTTAGATGAATCCTGTTGCTTCCAAAGAAACATGACTTCTGTTGGTTGAGAATCCGGAACCCTTCTAGACCGCGAGTTCGCAGCCCGCGCATTCCATGTGGGCCCTTCTGCTCTGGTCCGCGGGGCCTCCGTCCGGGAAGCGGCCTCCGGTCCGGTCCGGCCGAATCCCCCAGTCACTGGGCCTTTGGGGAGGAGCCTCCGGGCCGGTCCCGGCGCCTCGGATCATCTCTCGTTGACGTCGCGACGCGACTGGGGCCTGCGGTGCCTGCTGTCGCGACTGCGGTGCTGTGCCTGCCTTCCAGTCTCCAGAGATCTCTTGTCAACCCCCCAGCCGCTGCAGCCGCTGCACCGCTCCGGATGGCTGTTGGGTCCTTGACATCATTCTGGCAATCCTAAAGCGAGAGACCTCGTCTATAATCAGGGAATTCATGGTGCAGGATGCGTTCAGCGCACATCAGCGGCAATTCTGTGGAACTTCGGGGGGGTAGCATGTGTAGGTTGAGTCTTCTCACTCTCCTCACAAATAGAACATCCGAATTCCGATGCCAACTTTACCACCTTAGGCCTGGCACTACGAAACTTAAGGGCCTCAATGAAGTGTTTGATGGGGCAGTGTCCCGATGCAGCAGACCGAGGTACAACTGGCGCTCAATCCTCTCTTCTTCTTGTCTGCGGTTACGTTCGGAACCTTCAGCCGCCAAAACTCCTAAGCAACCCCGAACGACGTAGTTCCTCCAACTCGGACTGGTTCAACTGCTCTTGTCCTCCACGCGTGTGCACCGACAAGACCTCTCTCTCTCTCTCTCCGGTCCTCTCTTTCTGTCACATGCCAGTCTTTTCAGACAAAGGTCGCTACGGTGCCTCGTGTGGTGTTGGTTCGTTCCCACACGGTTGCCCCGTGCCATGTGGTCGTTGAAGTCCTGTGGCGTCATTGGCAGTCTCTTGAATCCCCGAACCTCCCCTCTCATACGAACCCGGACTAGAACTGCAAAAGATTGGTTCGCTTCGTTGTTCACGTCCCCGTGTTTTTCCTTGGTTCACTAACAGAGGGCTCCATCTACGTTGCGAAAGGGGGCTCTGGCTTTGACACAGTGATTTGCTGTATTTCAGGCGAAGGGTGGAAGGTTTTTCCGTTCGACGTCAACAGGCTGCCATAGCGTCCATAGCTCCAGCTCGCTTCTCTGGAGCTTGGGCCGAGTCTTCTCCACATTCGCGCTTGGAAAGCGCCGAAGGCGATGATCACACCCGGCCGCCGTGGCTTTAGAGACGACCGAAGTGCTTCACCCACTAACCGAAAGAGTCTGACATAAATTCAGTGTCATGGTCAAGTCAATTTGTAATTGATTGCATACCTGCATGTGCCGGGATTTTGCTGAAGTGCATCCGATTCAGTCGGTAGTTGGGAATGAACTCTGCGAGTAATGAACTCTGCGAATACGCAGTGCGAAACTTCGAAATTGCAAGTTGCATGTGGAACTTGACTTGAAATATGGAGTCAAATAATTCACTCCAATATGGACTCATCTCCCTGCTTCGTAAACTCAGCCATGCAGGAGGCAAAAACTAACCCAGTAACTCCAACTTCACTACCTGTTCTTCCGTCACTGCAACACTCTGCCTGACTCTACGCCTGCCTTTTGTCAGGCGGCAGCTTCAGAAGGAGTTGTCTTTGTGGGAGATAGACGAATGGCCTGGTTTGTTCGATCGTGTCACCACAGCAGCAGCAACTGGTGCCCCTTGCCTTCCTGAGAATCGCTTAAACCCCTGGTTCGATGGTGCCCATGCACTGATTCTCAGGGCACTGTTTCCAAAGGAAAACTTGGGCTTCCACTCCACCTTGATGAGCTGGTGGCTTCCGGTGTCTGCTGAAGTCTTGTCCAGCGCATGTTGGACCACCACCAGGCTTCCCAAGGTTCGGGTCGTCCCGCCACCTACCACACAGAAGCCTTTTGTTATCGCTTCTTGAGTTGTCATCTCGGCTTCCACGGCGTTGGCGGACTACGCGGACTCACTGCAGATGAACCGTCTCGTCGATGCCGTCCTCCGGGAGCCCGCACCTGAAGCTGCTTCTCCCTCCTTGGCTTCACAAAGTGTTCACATGGCCGTCAGTGGAGGACCAATGCTTCTGCTGGAGCTTCAACGCTTGTCCTTGATCATCAAGCTGGTCTGGCGGTGTGACGGATCCTGTTGTTATCCCACTCTGACCGGAGCTCTGGTGCAATCAATCCTTTGGAGAGTACTCTCCCTGCACGGCCATGTGGATCAAGTTGCTCTCCGTTGTGTTGAGGGGTGCGTCAAAAAACAGATTTCAGCCCTGGACAAAGCCAGGCAAGATCTCGATGATGGGCACCTCCGGGGCGCTCTCATAGCCGTAAGCAGCTTGGTTCTGGGACGGCCACTCCGAGGCCATGTCGTAGAGCCATCCATACTAGCCTCCGTACCCTGAGGACCAAGCGCCACCTCCTCTCTCCCCACTGGCTGTAGCTGCCGCCCTGCATCGTCTGCCCAGCCACCGGTGCGGCCGCCTGCGACGGGGCGTCCCACGGTGTAGCTGTGACCTCCACCCACACTCGCACTGAAAGCTGTCTGTGGCTTCGACGGCATCCTCGTAGGGCTTGTGCTCGTCGCTACACCTGTGCCTTCCTCCGCGTCTGCCTGAAGTAACAGACTCAGCAAGGTGCGCCTGACGTTTGCCCAGCCCAGGCCCAGTTCGCCGGCTCCCCTGGACTAAGCTCTCAGTTTCCCAATCCTCCCATTGCGCACTCAGTTCTTTGACCTTGCATACTTGCATGTATTTCGAGGATTGTTGGGTATGAGCGTGTTGTTCAGAATACTTGGTACACATATCTATGATATAACAATTCATTTGTATTGGACTTGCAGGCAATACCACTTGTACCCACTCCTACATGACAAGTATGTGAACGAGTCTTTAATAACATGTAAGTTAAGGCTCTGGTTCAATCAGTTCCATGACATGTTTTGGGTGTTGAATCTATTACGTTGTTTTCAGTTGCTTCTTTGGTGCCCTAGCGTGCGCTTCTTGCTATGCAAATTTAGTTGTCGATGTTTTGAATGTTAGCGTGTAGTGTAACCTTTACCTTATGTGGCGGCTCAGGTTCACGACTCCACATTCCACGCGCTGTATGCGTATGTATATAATCAGTGGTTGTGCATCAAGCACGCTTTTTAACAAACTTTCTGCCTTCGACAGAGTGTGTTTTACTTCCGAGGTTGATCATTGAGGATGCCTTGGACCAGAGCAGGTGCGAAGGGGCCAGCCGAGCAGTGCCAAATGTTGCAACTCAAGGGTCCCGCGTCCCCAATTCGGTGAACGTGTTTCTATCCTGTCTTTTTCTACCAAACCGTGAACCGTCGGGGTTCTTGTTAACAAGGAATGCCGACGTTTCGCATTGTGGGTGAGTTTAGACTGCCCAAGTGTTCAACATTGTGTCGTTTGATTTAAGACCAGGGGGGATGGCCAATGGGTCCCTGGTTTAGGGTTTGGGGGAGCCACGGGCGCATGCCGTCAAATAGAAACCGTTATAAGACGCATCAAATGCTAAGGCACCTCACCAAGCTGAGCATGTCGCACAACCCGTTGGGCGTAATGGGGCTGCGCGTGCCCTAGTCGCCCACATATACTTCACCCAATAAGGCCTGCCTGAAAGCGTTTTGCGAGAAGGCGATGCCTGCTGCGGCTGCTTGCAAGACCGCACTCCGGTTTGATTGCCTTCGAGATCGAGAACTGCCACCTGGACTGATCTGGAGAAGCGAAGCTGCGGCGCCTCTTAGACTCTTAGACTCGCTCCCAGGCTTCAAAGGAGAGCTCCTGGCCTCCGTTGAAGGGATACAGGCTGAGTTTCGCCGAGACACATGGTGGTGATCAGGACTTGTTGTGATGGGAGGTCTTTACGTACACGAACCCCGGTGGGCATTATTGCTTGGACCTGGAAAGGCTGGAACCCACCCTTGGGGAGAGGAGCAAACTGAATCCCGCCACCTGCCAGGCCGTATCATCGATCTCTTCTTCGGACTCTCTACAAGTGACCCGGTCTAAAATTCTCCAAAACCAGAACACCGTCGGCGTTGTGCCAGGGTTGGTGAACGATTCCAGCTGAAGCCTGCCCAGAGTCTCAGAGGCAAAGCCTTAAAGCTAAGGCTTAGGCTCCGGCCGCCTCCTTGCTCTGAGGCTGAGACTTTCTCCAATGTCACATTCAGCCCTGGCGCTTTCTCCCTGCCCTCTCAGCCTGTCACCTGGGGGATGGGGATCACGGATCTCGCCGTATCTCGCCTCACCGCCTCACCCGTCGGCCTGGGCCCATTCCAGGCGTGATGCTGGGGTTTGGCCAGTGCCAACATCAGGACTTTGGCATAAGAGCATGCAAAAAGCAACAGTGCGCGCAAGTATGGGTAGCTGTGAATTGCCAGGACGTTTGCAAGTCAACTTCAGCATCGAGAAGGCTGGCGCATGAGACGTGAGCCTCCGAGCAAAGCAGCAAGCCTCGTTCTTCCTTCTTTGGATGCCAATGCTCGAACTTGGTGAGTATATGCATGGGTGTGCATGCAAACATACACACAAACATACAGACATGCCTGCAACATAGCTCGGCAGAAAGACAGTTGCGACGGTTGCTTTGCTCAGCCAGTCAGCTGTAGCAGGCCATGCAACAGGCGGTCCATGGCGTGGCCGAGGTCTATAGAGTCTAAAGTCTAAAGACCCTTGCACACAAACGACGGCTTGGATCCGGCCGCCGGCCGCTGGCGCAGGAAAACTTTGGTGAGGTCCTCGTCCGGTACAATGAGGCCTCGTCCTTTTCTTGTTTTGCGTGCCATTGCTCTTCTGCGCATTGCTCTAGTTTCACAGTTCCAAGCGCAGGTCATGCGATTTACGCCACACTTCCGTGATCCCGGCTTGTGCATATATCCGTGCTGCCGGACCAGCTCTGTGAGTCTGTCCTGCCGCCGACATCGGTGGCAGGCAAACTTATCCCACTGCTTGCTCAGCCTTGCGCTTATCTCAGAAGGAGCTTGCGGGCGGGGCTTCTGAGTTGGTCATCCAGGTGGCGACTTCTAGAAGGACACGAGCAGGACAAAGACTTTCTTGCAGAGTCACAGAAATAGGAATAGGTGGGAAGATGGGTTCGTGCCGGTTGCGTTCTCAAAGCACGCGAAGCCGGTCGAGTGAGCGGCGCGGACTGCACAGAATCGTGTACAGGCTCTCATTGTCCTGCCGGGACAGAAGCGGGTGGGTTTTGAGGAGCAGCTTGCCATGCTAGCGGCACTGGGTAGGGCCCTTGCCTCGGTGTGTCTTTCTGGGGTCGGCACATCGGCACATCTTGGAATTGAGGATTTCATCTTCACCAGCACCCACCTTCGCCAGCTTTGCGCCTGTCGGGCCATGTTGGGCTTCCGCCTCGATCGAATACGCAGTGCAGAGCGGATCAGAGCGGATGCTTCTTTTTTATTACCGTAGCCGCTAGGTCCCGCTAGGTGCTATATGACTGCGCTCAGTGAGGCACCACGGTGGCGCGGCTGCTTCCCACCTTGGTCGGAGGAAAGTTTGCACGCAGCATGGCTGGGCGGCCCAAGCTGCAGCTAGGGCCTATAGTACTACATAGTACTATAGGGCTTAGGGACTGGCGATGCCAGGTCCTGCGCTGCGTGGACAATCTCAGCGAGTTCGTGAAGATGCTGACTCTGTGCAAGGACGGAAATGATTTTGCCAGAAACCGGGCTCAGATCATGTCAAGCCAGAAACCCAAGTTTCATATTCCAGATCCTGCGTGCCGTGAGTGGCATGCGATCTACGGATTATCTTGGTCTCATGCGGGCTTGAGGCTACCGTGAGTTGTGTGCCAGTCATGCGCGAAGCCCAGTCCTCTATGGACCGTAGAAACGGCGTGACATGGTATCGTTGGTTTTGCTTTTCCGCAGTGACATGCAGTGACACCCGCTTGCACTTGACTTCCGTGATTATTGGCACTGTGCCAATTTACGCCGACCTCGCTTGGCATGCACGGGTGTGCAATGCAATCCGAGGCAGGTGTGGAACTGTGAACTCAAGGCAATTTGCCCAAAGCGATAGATTTGACGGAATCCTGTTTGACTTGCATGGGTTTACCAAGCGGACAGCAGGCACAATCCTGCTCCACCCACTAGCAGCGACCAGAACCTAAACTACAAAAATGCAGATGGACAGGATAAATCTGCACATGTGGTGGATTTTCGAAATGTAGTTCTACACCAGAGCAGCTTGACGCTTGTGAGTGCAGCTGACGGGGGAAAGATACTCCGCAGCATTGTCAGGTTTGACTTCCAAGGGGTGCGCTCAAAGTCCAAGGCTGACATCAAAAACAGATGTAGGTCGGATGTAAACGGGCCGTCAAAGTCTCAATCTGTGACTTGGGTCCTCTACCCTCGATGCTTTCGGTAACTACACAATCTGAGCTTTTCTTGCCTTCGATTGCCAAACTTGTTAGGTGTACAGAGGTGCAGTCTCTCCCAGCCCGATATTCGGCAAACCACGCGAGGTTTGTTCACCCCTTTTCCGTTGCCTTCGAGCGAATCCGAACTCGCGCCGCTTTGCACAGAAATCCACAGAGCATGTTGCAAAGCAATCTGCATACATCTAGAAACCTCCGGTCCGGGAGAACTCCAACCTTGGCTCCACCAGAACACCACCAGGCCCCCAGGCTTTCAGGTTCTTCACAAGAAGCCATTGCAGGCCCCTAAGGCCCCTAAGGCCCCTGTCCCCTCTCCTGCTTTTGTTTTCCTTAAATCGGGTCAGCACTTGAGATCACAGCTTGAGAGGTGGTCCGTCGTCAGGATCCAGCACTAAGGAACCTGGGCTCGGCTCGCAGATCTGCCGAGGTTTGAGCATCCACTGCCCGAACCCCGCCCGACCGAAACACCTTGGGAGCCCAGCCCAACCCTTGAAACAGTCCGCGACGCCGCAAGGTGGCACGCCGACAGCCTCAAGCTGGCGTGGGACCAGATCACGAAGAAAATGGCCTTTCCCTCTAATCCCTCGCCTGCATGAGCAACATCTCCTGATGTGCTTGGCAATTGGCTGTTAGCTGCCAGCGGCCACCGCGGCACGGTGGCCGGGACAAAGGACTTTTCTGAGACCTGTTCGTGTGTCAACTTGGAGGTCACATAGTTGAGGCATGGAGTGATGAAGAGTGTGTTGTGTTCCACCAGTGTCATTTGAAGTTGCTGTCGCTGTTCACGTTGTCAAGGGGTCTATGACGCTCAGAGATTGTTTTGCAGTTGTTGGGTATCTTTAGCTAGTGTTCTCCGGAATTCTCCGGAATATGACAGACCTCCTCAGTCATGGCCATGAATACAACACAGCTTGATACTCACAGCCGATGCATCCTTCTGCGAGCCTCCTCCTTACCAGCTGGGCTGTCAAACCAGCGGATTCCGCTTCTCGGGATCCTTGCGAGTCGAAAAAGGGCCGTTCAACAAAAAAAAAAACTTCATCATCATCATTTCATACATTATGGTTCGTCGCCTCGCTGTGGTAAAGGCATGTAAGTGAGGTGGCGGTTTTCCTCCATTAGTTACGGCAAGGAATTTGAGCCCACGTTATACATGTGTGCAAGTACAAGTAAGGATCCACAGCTGACGAAGAACCTTTCCTTCAGCCGGCCCTCAATATCAGACGTGACCGACACGATGAGGGCAAAGCCACCGCAAAGGTAGGCACGACAAGCAGGAGCCACCAAGAATCAGACACGACAAACAGGATGAGGCAAAGCAGGGCCACCAGAAAGTAGACGCGACAAACAGCGCAGGGGCAACGCCACCCATCACGTATTGAGAGCCTGTCCTGTCAGAGACTCACTCTGTCGCCTGTCAACCGGAACCACCAGCAAAACGATGGTTGAAGTGGGGCAGGTGCCAGAATGCAGCTACCTGTAGTTGTTTGAGAAAGCTTTCCGGCCGTTAAGGCGCACCACACCATCGTTTAGGTGCGCCATACTCCATTGAAACCGCAGGAGTATTTGCTGTTCAACCCAGACAGCCCTACAGGCTGGTGATTTTCTCTCGGCTGTGCACCGCTTGGTGCGTAGCCTGGCAAGTCAGGGCATTACAAGCTCGACTTGGGCAACCCGGCCGCCGCCTACGTGGCGCAGGTGCAAACCGCAGACCGATAAGACACGACGGAGGAGGATTCAGCTTCGAGGCACTGGCCCTGCTGGACCGATGGGAATCAGGTCAGGAAACTGCCATGACCTTGTAGTCCCAGTCGCAAGTAGGAATGCTGCTTGTTAGAGGCATCGCCAAGCGAAAGGAGTTGATCCGATCTCAGATGTGCCTAACTGGTGCATAGGCCTAGGCCACGTGGACCGCGCTTGCTAGGCCGGACATCTCCGAGGATGGTGATTGCTCGTGCGTGAGGAACTGCAGGTAGGACTCGACGAAGAAATTGGAAGCCGAGATTTTTTGGATAATGGAGGTACGCCCACCAATCTCTTCGCTCATTGGGCTTGCAAAGCTGCTCGCCACTGCTCGTTGGCACATTCCCTTGGCCATCCTTGGTGATGCTCTCTCTCTCTCCCACTTTAGGCTTTGACGAATGGGTTCTTCCAGAAAAGGAGGCTCTGTCGGCTGAACGAGTTTCGGATCCGATTTCGGCACTCGCAGAATCGCAGATTCTGGAGCTGGACTATGTCACACATCTGCGACCTGATTGTCGCGGCGAAGTCGGGGCCTTGGCGCCAGCGGGGTGGGGGGGGGGGGGAAATCCGCTCCGAGAGCTTCTTCCGTCTGCGTCTGCGGCCTCCTTGCCTTGCGCGCAGCCTGAGCCTCTGAGAGGTGATGCTCCCAGCGACCTTCACCCGCTTCCTGGTGCGGCGCCCAAGAACAGCGCAACTGAGAGCTGAGAGCTCCGCCCCGCCCCACTGTGCTCCGTCTCTCCTTCTCTTTGGGCGCTTTGGGGGCCTGGCGGCCTTCCGAGAGTGCTCAGACCATCCTCCAGCAAGCGGAGTGCGATGGCCCAACGCAGATCAAGGCGCAGCACAGACCGCAGATACACCTCGCCTATATACCGCGCGCATATATACTGTCTGTAGTACTTGTGTGCGTGCGTGCGTAGGTCTTCATACTTGTCGTGCCAGTGCTGGCGCACGAAACTGCTGGAGGTGACAAGAAACCTGGCCCACTACATCAACTTGACGAGCGGGGCTCCCCGAATGATCGGATCATCTCAGACTGCGCAGAGTCGCAGAGTCGGGCGGCGAGGCGTTCAAATGCGACAGCTGCTGGGCGTCTACCGCACCGCCGAGCTGCGCGAGGAAGCCTTGGTCCGGCACCCACAGCCGAAGCCGCTCCGCCCCGCTCCCGGCGCTCCGCTCCGCCCCGCAGCCGAGGTGACGACGTTCTTTCGGATCGTTGACATTCACAACGAGAAGGCGCGAGGAAGATGCTGCATCACCGGGAGATTGCTGCTTGCATTGTCAACGCCGAGGTTTTCCGCGTCCGCTACGAAGAACAGGCCGAGCCCGCAGCCCAGCATCGGAGGGGAGAGGAGCCTGTGATCTCATATCTCAGTCTCAATTCAGATCACTGCTTCATTGCTTCTTCGTGAAAAGATGGGCTCCGGCCCGACTGAGGCTGGACAGTTTGCGCCAGCGGCTGGGCTACTGCACATTCTTCACGTGCTCTCACATGCGTTGATCTGAAAGCTCTTATCGCGAAGACGAACGTGCTTTGGCGAGAGGATGTGTGTAACATAACCTGCAGACGATATGTGCTTCGGCACTTGCTGGGAACCCGAACCCACTTGTACTTATTCCTTGGAGGTTGCGGACAGTTTTAAAATATGCATGGCAGGTATATTCAGCCGGAGCAGGCGCCACACGGAACAGGAGTGCAAAGTGCAGGAAACCTCCTGTTGGGCTTGGGGAGATGCAGAGGTCACCTACGATTTCGACTTCGCGAAATACGATCAGCGCCTCGCAGCGAACCTTTTCTTTGGCTCCTCGGTGCTTCACAGAATTTCCTCGTGCATACGCGACATGATGTACATGAGAATGATTCACCTAAATCCCCGCCAATCTGCGCAACCTTACTGGCTATCTACGGTAAGGCGGTCGAGAGCCAGCAGAACTCAGCAGCAACCAGCCGACTTCCGCGGCGGCCACCCATCGCTTCCAACAGGCAACGATGAAGTCGTCAAGCAGCACCGATACAGATTCAAATCTGCTGAAAGCCCATGTACTAGTGCGTCACAACTCCAGGTGTCTAGACTCGTTCCCTCGTTTCTGCAGTCTCGGAGCAAGAGCCTGGCTCCCCGCAATGAGTGCAATGTTCGTGGTGGCTGCGTCCATTGATGCTAGACGATTCTCGCTTGCTCGGCTCGTTTCAGCAAGTTGCTGCCCGCTGCTTGTTGGACGTTGGGGCAGCTGTCACTTCTGGCAGCCCTTGTGCTCGCAGACGATTCTCATGATGCCTTCCTCCCGTTCACCCGTCAAGCCACCCGTTGAAGCCGCTGATGTTCGACGCGCTTAGGCTGTCGATTCGACGTTGTGCTGATGATGCTTTCCCTACGCCCGCCGTGGCTTCACGGTTCTGAGCATAGACAACACCTCATTTTTTTCTCGCGCAGCCACAGCTAACAGCATTGAGCAGCTGAAGCCGCCGTTCAGAGAATGAGTTTTCGCCTCACAAGTAGGTATCTCCATTGTGTAGTTCATGGCCGGCCTAAGCACCCGACTGTCGCGTCTTGCCGTCTTCAAAATGAGTTGCCTGGAGTCTCCCTGCTGTTTCCATCTTTCTCCCAACTTATGGAAAATGCGCGTGGTGCCCAGTGCCCCAGTGCCCTCAACCTTGCCGCCTTGACCTTTAAAGTCTTCTTGGCTGCTCCTCTCCAGCCAAAGCTCACAGGCTTGAACGGAGGTTTTCACCGCTTGAAGCACAGGTTTGGCAAATGCAGAAAAGCGGGACAACATCTCTGCCCAGAGCTCATGAGCTCGGATGTAAGACAACCCTTCCTAAGCCGATGAAGCTGGCAGAACTTCCGCTACACACTTCCGGACGGCACGATCGACAAGCTGGAGCAAGGCGTTCCGCGCAGCCGGGGGCTTTTTGCGAACTGACACAGCTCCTCGATCGTATCCTGCTTCTGTGCCAGAGGCTGGGATCAGTTTGCGCGGATGCCCAAGGACCATTTCCCCCAACTCCGCGCTACACTTTCTGTTTCCGAGTTCCGCAGGAGGGCGTCTTCCATTTCACTTACAAATGTTCTCCACAGGAGCAGCTGGAGTCGAGGGTCTTTAGCGCAGGCTAAGCTCACGGCTTCTTGTGCATTTGTCGGATTATATTCTGGTTTAGGTTTGCCAGCAGCTAGTCCACAATAAATGTTCATGACAGAGTGCAAAGACAAAGAAGTGGCCAAGACAAGGCAGTAGGCAGCCCTCATTTACGTCGTGTCCGTGCGCTCGTGGTGCATTGCGAGTCGTGCTCGCCGAAAACACACAACATTTCTGCAGTGGTGAGATTGCGTTTTGCAAAGAAATCCCACGTCGCCTCGTTCAAGATGAAAGATGTTGCAGGATCGTCGGTTTTCCCTCAGAAAGTCCTTGCTCTTCCAGTTCGGGAAGTGGAAGGTCCACAGATCCACGGCACAGTCTCTGCTGCCCAGTCCAAGTTGATAGGTGGACGTCGCCGAGGATGAAGTGAATTGGTGGGCGGCTGCCGCAGAGGCTGGCTCCTCAAGACAACACGCAGTGGCTGTGTTCATGAAAATGGTGAGGCACCAGAAGATGTGCTGGAGTTCCTGTTCTGGATGCGCTCACGATTCCGAGACACCCAGAAGGCCATGCATGAAATCGATCGGCGCACCAGAACGGACAAGCAGTGGCAGGATCGAGCAAGAAACATTTTGCAGGCTTTTGAAGCCTTCGACGGTGCTGACGGGAACGGCCTCCTCGGGCTGCGCGAGTTTGAGGAGTCCCGGTTTATAGTTGCAGAGTGTGGGAGTCTGCTCCGCGGTACTGCGCGAGGAAGGGATGAAACAGCTGCTGGATGCTCTGAGACGCGAAGTGACGGCATTGCAAATCTTGGTTTGGAAATGAACCTGTCGCCCTAGGAAGTGCCAAAAGTTCCGCGGCCGTGATGAGAAGCAGCGCTGGACGGTGGGGATGTGTGCAGAACGCTTTGTGCATCCAGCAATCCAGTCCTGGATCTCCGTGGAAGGCGATCTTCCGGTTTCTGGATCCGAGCGGCGAGGGGCAGGTGCGGCGGTGAGCCGTGAGCAGGGTCGTGCAGGGTGGTTGTTTGGGCCTTCGGCCGCCATCACTTTGGCCGCCGAGGTGTCGAAGGAGGAGTTCTTGACTTTGGACAGCTTCTGGGCCGAGGCTGCCGGGCTGGGCGGCCGCTCGCGGACTAGTCGCTGTTTCAAGCGCTTTAAGCCGAAGTGAAACGGCGGTCGTCAGGTGGAGTTCTCCATCAAAGAATTCATCGACTGGTCGAATCGGAAGTGGGCGTCTCAGTGTTGGGCCCACGCTGCACAGCGGCAGCGGCAGCCTGGCGGCAGGTATGGCAGGGACCTGAGGACCCTCTGGAACGCCCTGCCCTCGTCACTGTGGCCCCTGTGGCCCCTGTGTTGTCACCCGGCCACCAAACGTTCCCGGCCTTCAGGCTCTGGATGAAGATGGAAGTGGTGCCATCCAGCGCTTCGAATGGGAATCTGTTCTCGACAAGGCCAGGACAGGACTAAGCTGCTAGCGCTTGAGGCTTTCCGCAATGAAGTGCAAGATGTCAGGTTGGATACTTCGGGCCGTCCGGGCCCATCTTCAGCTACGTCGACGAGGCGGCCGTGCGGAGGGACGATGTGGAGTTCACTTTATGTATGACTGTATGACTCGCATGCGACGTGTGCGTCCCTGCTCGGAACAGACTTGACTCAGCATCGAAAATGCTCCAACCTCTGAAGATGTTGTGCAGGCAACATAAGAGCACTTGTGAATGTCCTCCTCAGACCATTTCGCAAACAAGCGACACTGGATCGTTGAAGGCCGCTGTGGTACACAGATGGTGCAGCACGGAAGTGGTTTGTACATATGGGCGCATGCTGGTCATGAACGCGATCTCTCGTGGCTTCACGAAGTGCCAGATCATTCAAACAGCCCACACAGAGAAATCCGCAGGAAAGGTGTCGCTTTTTTGCCGATCTGCTCGCCCAGCCGCGCGTGCGCATTGTAGGCTTATTAGAGTGCCATGTCTTCCGAGAAGCTTGAGGATGTGCAGCATATCTGTAGTCTTGCAGGGACGGGACGCACGTTTGTGGCTCTTGATGTCCTCGCCTCCCAGGACGATGGGGGGGAGATCTCCTGGAACGAGTTGAGGGCTTGGCGGCGGCAGCATGGAAGCGGCAAACGTCGTCAGACTGAGGTTCCAGCTGCTGGGGCGATTTCAAGACGCGCCGTGCTCCTGAACATTGCCTAAGTCCTAATTTCGGCTCTTTACGTTTTAGCCAAAGCTCGCCGAAGCTTTGCCAGCATTTTGCGGGCCATGCCTGTCTTAGCTCTCCGTAAGGAAGACTATTGAAGTTGAGTTCGTGCGTTCGAGACCAAATCGGAGGAAAGTATGCTGCAAGTTCTATAAAATCCGTGGTGCGAGGCACTTCAGAGCCTGGTCATGCGAAATCTACAGTTTCTTCACTGCGTCTCTCGCCCTAGCTGCAGGCCAAGAGCCCGACCATGCTGAAAAACCCGTAGACGGAAAGTTAAAGGAACTGCGGTTAGGGCGTTGTAAGAGATTGTCTGCTTTGTGCAGAGGCCGAGGCCAAGGCCTGCCGGCCTGCCTGTTTGCCTCATGTTTCCAGCTGCCGGTCGTCGAAACTGACCCGTGCTTCGCCGTTCAACTGCTTTTGGTCACCTGGAGTCTGTGCCAAGAGCGACACCGAGAAGTCGAAGTTTTCAGAACTTTGTGACAGAGAAGCGATTGCAGAGCTTCGAGGGAGCCGGCTGGACAGCAAGCTGTTTCTCGGACAAATCCACATCGTCCACATGCCGCGGGCTTTCAATGCTCCTGAAGTGAAGAAGGATACGGAAGCCGCCGCGGCTCAGCTGATTTTTGTACCGCCATGATGGTCAGACAGAGGCGAGCTGCATGAAGATTGTGGACTCGAGAATGTGAAGTTTGAGACCATGGCGAATGCTTCACTTGATCTGGAGATTCCTGAGATTGGCCACAACTGGACTATGGCACCTTCAACGACAGCTGCAGCTTTGTCATGGTCTTCGGAGAGCACAATGTGTCGAATTATAATCCCTTTACAAGACACTCCGGGCCAATCTCGGCAGTCAAGAAGTGGATCAAGACGCCCATGGCAGAAGCAACGTGCCAAAAGAACTCACTCGCGCGTGAGTTTTGCCACGCACTGGCCATGGAAAGCAGGTGAGTAGATCGCGGTGGTCATTACCGATGCACCCTGCCATGGAGAGAGACAGTCATGACGATCCTACACTGCGGGCCAGAAGTCCCTGTGCTTTTGCTCCAAAGCCCAGGCGGCAAGAAGTCAACGACAGCAACAGATCTCCGTGCTCGCGCTTCCTCAGACAGCTGATGTGGGGTGGTTCGGACTGCGGCAGCTGCAGCAGCTCTCTCAAGAGGCTCTCGCAAATCGACGCTTGTGAGCGGCGGCTGCGGAAGCGCTGGCGGCCATCAGAGAACCCCAAACTTCTCGTCTTGACAGGTGGCCTTGTATGGCCGAGCTATCAGAGCCCTTGAAAGGATCTCTTCAGATCGTCCCGAGAACAGTTGTTCAAACTTAGCATGCCGCTCAAGACATCCAAGATCTGCGCATGCGAACGGTTTTGATTCTCCTCGCACGATGAGATACAAATCAAGTAGTCCACGCTGAGAACCACTCGAAGCGCCTTGATGACTCAGTTCGGCCGGGTTCTTGGGCTGCCCGGTCCGGTCTTTCTGTGCTGCGCACGGGCACTTGAAACATCGGCGACCCATGAAGGAAAAGCTGTTGAGACTCATTTTGTTTCGCCATACATGAATGCCATGTCCCGTTCCGACCGCGGGCCATAGGTTGGCTCAGCAGACTTTGCAGCAATGGCGCGTCTCAAGTTCCTGCTCTTCCAGGCCAAGAGGGGGTGTGGAGGGAGAGGGGTTGGAGTAGTAGGAGTAGACCCTAGGCTCGCAAACGGAGACCCTGAGGTGACCGCTTGTCTGGGTGTGGGCGGCACGATGGAAGAGAGGAGTTACGAGCACTTCGGGCTCTTGAACGACCTGCGGGCCGTGCCTTGGCCGACTCGCTGCAGAGTACACCGGGTACACTGGGTACACGCGAAAGAGCCCTTTGCGCCCTTTGCTTCGCGTCTGCTGAGGCTGGCTTCACCTGTCCAGGTGGCAACTCCTATGCCCCGAATGATGTCCCTCTCAAGTTTGACTGCCGCTTGTGGGCTGCCGCACAGCTCCACTCTCAGGCACAGCGATCCCGATGTGTGTAGTGGCTTGGCTGGCGAGTGCATCTAGTGCTTGGAAGGACATGGCAGACAATGGATACTTCTCCCACACGAGCCAAGATGGTAGAAGCCCATGGGACAGAGCTGAAGCTCAGGGCATCAGATCCTTGGGCTATCAAGACCAGACGGACGTCGCCAGAATGAACTCGGACCCCAAGGGGTTGGGGGTTCTTTTTGGGTATTTGTTATGGTTTTTTTGTGGTATGTTTTTATGGTTTTCGGTTCGGTGGGTGCGCGAGTCAGCCAGCCAGTCAGTCAGATTGTCATTCTGTCAGCCAACCGCGCGGTCAGTCAGTCGGTGGGTCGGTCGTCCAGCGGCAGCGGTGAGTCGGTCAGCCAGTCAGTCCGTCTGCAAACCGGGGCGTCAATCAGTCTGGCTGTTTGTCAATCAGCCTGTCAGTCCGTTAATCCTCTAGTCAGTCGGGCTGTTGATCTGGCGTTGCAGCTGCAAACCAGTGAGCATGGGGTACCAGAGACTCGGAATCGCCAAAAGAGGGGGCGTGTTGAAGATATATGATGAACCGGAACCGCCGAATCAGGGGGCGTGTTTAAGATAGATGATGAGCCGTTGTCACCAAAAGCGGGCGCGTGTTAAAGATATATGGTGACGCCGAATGAGGGGCGCGTTGAAGATATGATGAGCCGTTATCACCAAAAGAGTGGGCGTGTTTCAGATATATGGTGACATGGTGAACGGTCATCGCCGAATGAGGGGGCATGTTAAAGAGATAATGGTGAACCGGAAAGGGGCGCGCAAGCTGAGATATATGGTAAACGGTTTTCGCCGAATGAGGGAGTGTTAAAGACATATATGGTGAAGCGAAATTGCCAAATAAGGGGTGTGCTTCAGATATATATATATATATATATATACATATATATATATATATATCCATGGTGAACCGGAATCGTCAAACGAGCGGGGTTGTTTTGCACGTATCATGAATCGTTATCGCCAAATGAGGGGGCGTGTTTATCATGTATGTTGCACCGTTATCACCAACTGAGGGTGGCGTGTTTAAGCTATAGGCTGACCCGGAATTATCAAATTAGGGGGGTTGCTTACCTCTTGCAGCACTTGCAAGTGCGTTTGCAAATGGGGGGTGCCTGCGCCCAACCCCAACCCCCCCTCTTTCTTCAGCCCCGTAGTGAACTTGCTTGAGCGAACGAGTACCATCAAGACCGCTTTCTGGCCATTGTCAAGTCAGCGCGTAACATATATGAGACGTTTCACAGCCCGTCCTAGGGGCCCAACCCCCTCCTGCTTTATGTTTGGCCGCGGTGAATGGTTTTCGCCGAATGAGGGGGTCTTAAATAGCTATATGGTGAACCGAAATTACCAAATAAGGGGGGGTGCTTCATATATGTATGTACGTATGTATATATATATATCTGTGTGATATATGATATATGTCATATGGTGATCCGGAATCGCCACATGAGGGGCTTGTTTAAGACGTATCATGAACCACTATCGCCGAATGAGGGGACATGTTTAACATGTATGTTGAACTTTTATCGCCAATTGAGGGGGCGCGTTCAAGATATAGGATGGCCCGGAATTACCAAATAAGGGGGCGTGCTTTAGATATGGTGAACCGGAACTACCAAATCATGGGTGTTCTTCAGATATATGGTTCAAGATTTTTCATGAACCGAAATAACCAACTGAGGAGGGGGGATGTGGGGTACCGGAATCGCCAAGTGAAGGGGCGTGTTTGAGATAATATGATGAACCGGAATCGCCGAATCAGGGGGCGCGTTTAAGATATATGGAGAACCGGAATCGCCAAACGAGGGGGCGTGTTTAAGATATATGATGAGCTGATATGAGCTGTAATGACCAAAAGAGGGGGCGCGTTAAAGAGAGAGAGAGAGAGAGGGATATATATATATATATATATATATACACACACATATATATATATATATATAGACACACATATGATGAGCGGTTATCAGCAAAAGAGGGGGCGTGTTTTAACATATATGGTGAAAGGTTATCCCTGAAAGATTGACGCGTTCAGGATATACGATGAACCAATATCACCAAAAGAGGGGCATGTTCAAGACATATGGTGGACGGTTATCGCCGAACGAGGGGGCGTGTTAAAGATATATGGTAAGCCGGAAGTACCAAGTACCGGGGCGTGTCCAAGATATGTGGTATAGTCATAACTATGGTGTACCCCAATTGTTAAATGAGGGCGTGTACTGAAGATGTAATGAATCGCCGGTCCTCTTTTTGCATTTTCTTTGCAAAGGGGGTGCGGTTTCATAATTCTTCTTGAAATTTTCAAGTTTTCCGGATCCGTCATAGGCAAAGAGGGGGGGTGCCCGCTTCGTCAAACCGCGCAAGTTCGCTTCAAACATCACTTTGCCAGCAAAAACAGAGTCCATATGAACGTGATGCATACGTACATTGGGTTTGCAACTGGGGGGGCTGCCCCCCCAACCGCCCGCTTTCTTTTTGTGCCGTGCGTGGCTTGCCGTCAAGAAGAATTCCGTCAATCACATAACTCTTTGTCAAGAAGGAATTGCGTCAATCACATGTTTCTTCTTGAAAGCTTCGAGCGTTCCAGATCTATCATACACGGTGCAAGTTCTCGACAATCCAGGCCCAGAAAACCATAAAAGATACCAAAAAAATCCAAAATCAGGCCCCTCCGTAAGACCCTGACAGGGTTTTCTATAATCCAGGCCCACAAAACCATAAAAAATACTCAAATAAAACCATAAAAATCAAAAAAAAAATAAAAAACGGGACTGACCCCAAGGAGCCAACGGTGAAAATATTGCTGCGGGGCGCAGCGGTGCTGAAGCTGTGCTGGAACAATGGAAAAACTCGGATGGGCACTGCGACCAGGCCGCACTGCCCACTGCCGCACGGACAGGGTCAAGTAGTCTTGACGGAGTGCCAAGTCCGACCAAGGCAAGAACATGATGAATCCGAACTTCCGCGTCTTTGCAGTAGGCCATCTGGCCCTCTGGTAAAAAGCGAGTGGACTCAGTGCCGTGCCAGGCTATGCCTACAACTCCGGTTCAAGATACAGGCACTACTGGACCCAAATGTTCAAGAGCTCGGACGTGTCCGATCTGGATACTTCGTGCTACATACCTGAAGCTACGACTAGCTCTAGTACCACCACCACTATCACTACCACCACGACCACGACCGCCACCACTACCACGACCACCACCAGCACCACTGTCAGCACTGCGGCCACAAGCGCCAATGCAACTGATAGCAACACGACGAGCATCGCAGCTTTTGTGCCGACAACGAACAGCACGACGTTCGACGGCACAGCGGAGGCAAATACTTCGTCCACTCTTGCCACACAGTCTACGACTGCGCCAAACCCAAGTACTAGCGTCACTTCCTCGATGGCTACGGCAGACGAGGTCAGGCGGCTCAGGATCCGATGATACCAGATTTGGAATTTGAAGATCCAGCACTTGTTGCTTGCAGAGGTCGAGACGTCAACGTCAGGCTCGGAGCTTCAGAGCACCACTGGCTTCGAAACTCGACCCCCCGGGCTTCTGTAGCTCAGATGCAGAATGTCTGGCGGGTACGCACGTACATTTCCCGCACTTTGTGGCGAGGAAGGGCCAGATCGTCGTGCGAACCTCCCACCCCGGTGGCTTCTTCGCGTCGGAACAGCTGCAAGAGCTTGTGAGGGCCTTTCTCGAGCATCTCGTCTCAATCTCGGCTTCTTTTGATGTTTGACCAACAGATGCAGTAGATGTACTGTCGTTTCGAGGCGCCTCGGCGACGGATTGCTGCAGGCCTGACGTCCAAGTCCAATCACACGCAGATGCACTGGTCATAGAAATGAGCAGAGTGGGAACATGAGCAGACCCGTTCCATAGCTGCTGGATTTAGGAAGACTCTACGGGGACGGGGGGCTTGTAGAAATGGATTTCGGAAGAATATGAGGGGGGATTGAGGAAGACTACAGAGGGGGGGCTTGTAGTCTTGGGGGAGGGTTTTGAGCTTGTGTGTTGGAAGGGACGTTTCTATTCATGTCTTCGCGGCTTAAGAGAGCGGGGAGGCTGCAGTCAAAAAAGCCGGATGTTGGGGGTGCGCAGCTCCCCCATTTGCAGACAAGATGAATGTGTTATTTTCCTGCATTTAGCCCCCCTGAAGCCGTTCGTGTGGCTTTCTTTGTGTCTCTTCGAGAAGTCGTTTCCCGGCGATTGCTGGCACTAGTGGGGGGTGATTCGGCTTTGGGTGAAGCATGATAGGGGAGGGGCTTGTAGTTTTGGGTTTGGGCTAAGCATGGGGGGGGGGTTGCAGCAAGCATAGGCTACCCCCACACCTCACAGTCTATACCCCCCTACGCTTTTACCTCAATTCTCAACCCGCCTCCCAAACTCAACCTTCCAAAACACTAAAACACAAAGCACCTCCCAACAACCAACACAATAATCCCGAAACAAAGCAACCTACCAAACCAATACAATAATCCAAAACATAACCCATAACCCAAAGCACCTAAACAATGCTTAACCTAACCCATTCTATAACCAATATCCTAACATGAGGTGTGCGGTAAGACCCTAATAGAAAAAAGCCCAAAAGATTATAACCCTGAGCTGGAAAACGACGACAACGGCAAGTTCATCTATGAGACGGTGCGCCTGCCACGTTTGTGATTTGAAGGCGACAGCATTGCTTACACCGTGCAGTTCCGGCTGCAGCCTTTCAGGAGTTGTATTGGCCCTTTGATAGACGAAGTTGTTGTTCTCATTCATGTTAAGGCAGAAGCTGCAACAGAACCCCAAACCCTAAACCCTAAACACCTGCGCAATGGTGCACCCAAATACACGTCGCTCAACAGCGCTGCTGGTGCTGGTTGCTCTGGCACATGTGGCACACCATAGCTTCGTGGTTGCTCCCTTTTCGGCACTTCGGGTTCAGAGCTCCTTGCGCCCTTCTGGCATTGTCAAGACGCACGTGTTGCGCAAGGCAACGGAGGGTCAAACTCAAAGGGTTAGGGCATTGGAGTGAAATTGTGCTCCCTGAGGTGGGCGCAAATCCGCGTTGGCCGTATGGACTGGCGGGCGATGAGAAGTCCGAGATCTATGCCCGTCAGTTGGATGGCGACTTCTTCGCCGATGTCAAGAACAGCGACCTTTTCCTTCAAGCTTTGAAGGAAGATGCCGGGAAGAAGCAGGTGGATGCAGATGCGCACCTAAACAGTATTGATCAAAAGGCCACGCAGTTCATGAAGGGTGAGCCCAACGAACCACGCTAGATAGTGGACCGCGAGTCTTTCAGAGGCAGCCTCACGGATGCGATCTCCCGAGATGGCAAGCTCACCTTGGTCTTGGGTGGCAAAAGTGTAGGCAAGACATTAGCCGTCTCGCATGTCGCGGAACCCGTCAGGCAAGCACTGGAAACAGGACAATCCTGCTGGTCAATGCCTGCAAAAGATTTTTATGAGGCCACACTGTCAGTGGCAAGTATGCAGACTAATGTTCTAGACATCCTCACGCAGCTGCCGCTCTTTGGAAAACGGTTTCGCGCTGGACCACAGTCCCGAGTTTGGCGGTTCATGCAGCAACTGCCCTTCATGGCGACCCTGGTTGGGGCTTTGCGAGCTGGAATGGCAACAGCGGCTGCACCATTAGCAATGGCCGTTCAAAACTTCGGAAATCCCTGGACGACGACCACAAGGCACAGGCTGTGCCCGAGTTGGTTAAGGGCATCGTAGAGAAGGGCAACGACACCACCATCATCATCGACGAAGCGAACCTGGCGCTCCCCAACGACGGCAAATATGCCAAAGCAGAGACAGCCAAGAGGGCTTTGGCTCAAATCACCGACAGCACCAAGGAGGCCTTCCAAGCCTCTGTCGTCCTCATCAGCTCCGAGCACGGCTACCCCTTCAAATTGACCAATGCCGGTCTCAATCTGGTGGACATCAAGAACATTGTCATTGCTCCGGAAGTGCCGCCGAACGACATGTTCAAGATGCTCACCGGCCACTGGGGCATGGGGCCGAGACTGGCGCGACTCTTCGTGGCCACCTATGGCGGTTCTATTGACGCAGTCTACACCGCTCTGGGCAACCTGATGAACAACGGCGACCAGTTCTATCCGTTGCGCACTACATCCGTGCCTGGCATCGGCAACTGCATGGTAAAGGCACGTTAGGGGCAGGTTTTGGTTTGTGTTTTTTCGGGTGGTTAGGCAGGTTCGCACCTAAAGTCTTGCCGACTTCCGCAGGATGATGCCCGCGAGCACCTCATCAATATCGTAGGTTGCTTTGTTCTCGGGATTGTTGCTTTTGTGTTGGGAGGTGCTTTGTGTTTAGTGTTTTGGAAGGTTGATTTTGGGAGGCGGGTTGAGAATTGAGGTAAAAGCGTAGGGGGGAGTATCTGATGTGAGGTGTGGGGTTCTGCCTATGCTTGCTGTTGCAGTCTCAACAATGCAATCGGGAGCGTTTTCGTGTGGCGTTCTCCTTTGTGTGTGTTGGAGAAGGGGGGGCTCGTAGTTTTGGATTTGAACGACGTATGAGGGAGTGGGGGCTCGTAATCCTGTGTTTGGGCGAAATCTAAGGGCGGGGCGTTCATTTCTTCGCGGCTTAAGAGAGCAGGGTGTTTGCAGTCTGCAACCAGCGGGCGGGTTGGGGGGGCCGCAGCCCCCCCCATTTGCAAATCTTCCAGATCAGTCATGCTTAATTACGTCTTCTTCGCTTTTAACCCCCTTGAAGCGTTTTTCGGTGGCTTTCTCCTTTGTGTGTTGGAAAAAAATGGAGCTTAACGTCATGGGTTTAGAAAGACTGTAAAGGGGGGGGCTCGAAGTCTTGGGCTTCCAAATCACTCATGGTTAAGTTTATGTTCTTCGCTTTTAGCCCCCTGAAGCGTTTTCGTGTGGCTTTCTCGTTTGTGTGTGTTTGAGAAAGGCCCAAGACTGCAAGCCCCCCATCTTCATAGTCTTCGTAAATCTTCATAGTTTTCGCAAATCCCGAACTACAACGCCCCCGCCCCCCCATACTCTTCCTAGCTACAAGCTCCCCCTCGTAGTCCTCCCCCTCCACCCGCTCGCCCGGGACCCCCCCTCCCCTCATACTCTTCACATTTCTAGGACTACAAGAGGGGGGTCCCGGGCTATTGAACCGGGCTCAACATGAGTGAGTCGCATACGATGGGGTATATGCGGACGTCGAACAGGAACACCACAACCTCACAACAGCCTCCAAGGCAGACGGACTGCAGGCAGGAAGACGCACTCCAAGTGCCACCGCAACGCTACGTGCCACTACTGTAGTGGAACCGGTAATGACGGTATTGAGTGCCGGCAACAGGGCGTTCTGACATTAGAGCCGCATCATGTCAGTTCGAGAAAGCAATCCATTTGCGCGGGAATAATTAATCACGCAGGTTTCAAAATCCGCCGAGCTTGATGGAGCTTTGCTGACGTGCCAGGGAGTGCTTAAAGCGAGGAGTAGTCGTGCGCAGTTCCTCGCTCTGGGAGCACAGAGGCGATCTCCTTCGCGCCGGCCGCGGAGGGGCGCCGTCTGAGACGGCGCCTCGAGGAGAGTGCAGCGGCGGCTACGGATGTGACCGTCTCCTTCACTGCAGAGGCGCGCGCCGCACGCCTTCCGCGGCGTTTCCGCCTGCGTGCATTTTCCGAAGCTCTTCAGGTCCCTGCTGGGCGCGGCGAGGAGGCTGCTGCCAAACTCCAAGCGCCTCCCGAGGTCGCACAAGCAGCCCTGGAGGCGGCTGCGGCAGAGGCCGGGAAAAGCGCTGTGAAGCGACCGAAGCACCCCAGTCCGTGTTGCGCAAACTTTACCGATGCGAGGTGTCTGCAGCAGACACCATCGAGGCGGGGGCCCTGCGGCAGTTGGGGACGGGACACCAGGGTGAGACCGTGAGGCGCTCCCCCCCACGGCACGGATGCAGGTCCGCTCCGTAATCGTGACGGAGATCCTCGAAGAAACCGAGGGGTCGCAGCCCCCGCCAGTCGCAGCAGATGGGACCTGGCTCGTGATGGCCGCAATCTTGCTTTCAGGCGGTTTCGTGCTTCCGAGTTGCACATGTCCGCAGTCAAGATTCATTGTGAATTCATTTCAGCCATGCTCGCCGTGGTTCAGACCTTCTGCATGCAGGGGTCCTGCTGATCTCAGCAGCCGTCCTGGGTGTATGGTATTTCTTCAAGCACGGAAGAAACAAGAAGTATGCTGCAGGCCAAGGCACGGCAACTCCACTGCGATCGAGCACATGCTCTACAGACGTGCGCGAGAGAGAAGCAGAGAGGGATGGAGTATTTGACACGGACCCTTGACCTGGACAGTGCACGGTTTCGCAAGGGGGGTACTTCAGATTCTGTGCATCCCTCCAGCTAGTCTGCTACATAAGAAGAAGAGAGACGCGGTGAGTGAGCAGTCAGGTTCGCTTTCAAGACAGAGAGTAGGATTTGGCTCTGTTTTTGATTGTGCCTTGATCGTCTTCGGTCTTGGGTGAGTTCTTGCTGGAGCGCTTGCTGATTTTTGTGTGTCCCCGATTCCGAGGTCGCATGCTTGATCGAGAGGCGCACCTTCGAAAACCTATCTTCTTCAAATTATGAATGCTTTCGTCCTACCCTTGCCGCTCTATAGCTTGTTTAGCACATTATCCAAAGCTGTTGTCCGATCGCTTCTGGTACCCTTTGCTCGAACTTGCGAACAAAAGCTTGCTGAGATAACAACTCGCGCAGCTGATGCTCATGATGTTTGGGCTAGTTTTGTCGTCCAGTGAATGCTCGTGAGTTTTAGGAGCGCAAGAACATGCACAGCTGATGCTCATCATCGTTGGGCAGCGGCACCCTCTGCAATTCGAGCAAAAGCCGGTGCTGCTGATTCTCATGGTTCTCGGGGTCGGATAGCCCGCTTACGCTTGTGGCACCCGATCACAAGCGGCACAGTCTGCGGCCCGATCGCAATCAAGCTACAAACTGGCCTAGCTGACATGATGCTCGGGTGGTCCGCTCGTCGAACCTTCCAAAGGACAATCGCAGGCGGTGCTCGTGATGGTCTGGTTGGGTAGCCCGCTTGCTCGGCTTGCGCGGCAAAAGACAAAGCTGATTGGTTGGCCCGATTGCATGCTCGGGCTGAGGGCCCCGATCGCAATCGACGCAAAAAACAGGCACAGCTGATGCTCATAATGCTCGAGTTCGCCAAGCCTTCAGCGAATCACAGCCGTCGTGACGCTCGAGCTGGCAAGCGCAGCTGACGCTTGTGATGCTCGAATTGGGTAGCCCGTCGCCTTGCAAAGGACCAAAAGCAGCTGATGCATTTGATAGCCCATTTGCAAGCTGATGCTCATGATGCTCGAGTCGGTAAGGGCAGCTGATGCTTGTGCTGCCCGAGTTGGCCAGTCGCCAAACCGTTTGTATCGTAACTGACACTCTGTCCTTCGCCAAACCTTTGCAAAGGACTCGTGCAGCTGATGCTTGCGATGTTTGGGCGAAGTGGCCCAATCGCAATCAAGGCAAAATTTGGCGCAGCTGATGCTCATGCAAGAAATGCTCGAGTTCGCCAAATCTTTAAGAGCGGCGAATCATCACCAAAACTGGTGCAGTGATACTCACGTTGCTCGAGTTGGCAAGCGCAGCTGACGCTTGTGATGCTCGAGTTAGGTAGCCCGTCGCCAAATCTTTGGAAACGGCAATCGCGGCTGATGCGACCCTTTGACGGCCCAATCGCACTTTGGATGCTCATGATGCTCGAGTTGGCAAGGGCAGCTGGTGCTTCTGAGGCTCGGGCTGGGTATTCGGATCGCTATCGACGCAAAAGAATCCGCAGCTGATGATCATGATAAGAATATTAGGGCCACGTCGCCAAAAAGACAAGCACAGCTGATGCTTCTGTTGCGCGGGGCACAAGTTAGCGCAGCTGATGCTCGTGATGCCCGAGCAGGGTGGTCCGTCGCCAAGGCCTTGCAAAACACATGCGGAGCTGATGCTTGTGATGTCTGAGTTAGTTGGGGTGATGGCTGGCTCGGTGGTAATGAAGGCAACATCTGGCGCCACTGGTGCTGATGACGCTCGAGTTGGGTGGCACATTGCAAGAGCTTTGCAAAGTTGATGGTGCAATCGCAATTTAGGCAGCTGATCTCGAGTTTGCAAGGGCAGCTGATGCTTGTGATTGCTCCGGCTGAGTAGCCCTATCACAATCAACGCACACATTTGCGCAGCTGATGATCACAATGCTCGAGTTGGCCTGTCGCGACAGACAAGCACAGCCGATGCTTTTCATGCGCGGGCTGGTGGCCCGATCACAGTTCTGGCAAAATCTGGTGCCGCCGGCGCTGATGATGCTGGAGTCGAGCGGCACATCGCCAAAGCTTTGCAAAGGACAAGCGGGGCTGATGCTTGCAATGCCCAAGTTGGCTGGCCTATTCCTAAAGCCTTGCAAAAGACACGCACAGGCGATGCTTGTGATGCCTGAGTTGGTTGGAGTGATGGCTGGCTCGATCGCAATCAAGGCAAAATCTGGCGCCACTGGTGCTGATGACACTCGAGTTGGGTAGCCCGTGCCTCGCAAAGTACAAACGCAGCTGATGTGTTTGATAGCCCTTAGGCAGCTGATGCTCATCATGCTCTAGTTAACAATGGCAGCTGATGCTTGTGATGCCCGAGTTGGATCCCATCGCCAAAGCCTTGCAAAAGACACGCACAGCTGATGCTAGTGATGCCCGAGTTGGATCCCATCCCCGCCTTGCAAAAGACACGTGCAGCTGATGCTTGTGATGCCCGAGTTGGATGGCCTGTCACCAAACCGCCTGTATCGTAACTGACACTCTCCTTTGCAAAGGACACATGCAGCTGATGCTTGTAATGCTCGGGTTGAGCAACCCAATCGCAATCAAGGCAAAATTGGCAAATCAGGCACAGCTCTCGCGTTGCTCGAGTTGACAAGCGCAACCGACACCTGTGATCCTCGAGTTGGGTAGCACGTCGCCAAATTCTTTGGAAAGGACAACCGCGGCTCATGCGACCGTTTGACAGCCCCATCGCACTTGGGGCAGCTGATGCTTGTAATGCTCGGGTTTGGTAGTCGGTTTTCAATCGATGCATAACACATTGCACAGCTGCTAATCAGAGTAGGTGCAGCTGATGCTTGTGATTCTCGGGTTGGGTAGTCGAATCGCAATCGACACAAGAAATTGCGCGGCTGACGATCATGATGAGAGTGTTGCGTGGCACGTCGCCAAACTTTTGCAAAGACAAGCACAGCTTATGCTTCTGTTGCGTGGGTTGGGTGGCCTGATCGCGGTCAAGGCACAAGTTAGCGCAGCTGATGCTTGTGATGCCCGAGCTGGGTGGTTCATCGCCAAGGCCGCAAAGCTGATGCTTGTGATGCCTCAGTTGGTTGGGGTGATGGCATGCTCGAAGCCAATCAAGGCAAAATCTGTCGCCGGTGGTGCGGATGATGCTCGAGTTGGGTAGCCCGTCGCCTTGCGTTTGATAGCCCAAGCTTAGTTTAGACACCTGATATTTTGGATACCCGAGTGGCGATGGGAAAGCCTTGCAAAGGACATGCGCAGCTTGTGCTTGTGATGCCCGAGTTGGATGGCGTCTCGCTTTCCTTCGCCAAACTTGTTGCGAAGGACACGTGCAGCTGATGCTTGTGATGCTCGGGCTGAGTGTCGATCGCAAACGAAGACAAGCACAGCTGATGCTCGTGATGCCCGGGTTGGGTGGCACCTTCGCAAAGGACACTGGTCATAATGCTCAAGTTCGCTTGACCTTTAAGCGCAGCGAATCACGGCCAAAACTGGTGCAGCTGATGCTCATGAAGCTCGCGGCTGAGGCGTGTGCTGCTCGAGTTGGGAGTTGGGCAGCCCGTCGCCAAATCTTTGGAAAGGACAAGCGCGGCTGATGCTCATGATGCCCTGTGGCAAGGGCAGCTGATGCTTGTGATGCTCGTGGGTTGGGCAGTCGGATCGCAATCAAAGCAAAAACTTGCGCAGCTGATGATCATGATGCTCGTGTTGGGTGGCTCGTCGCCGCCTTTTAAGCTTTTGCAAAGACAAGCACAGCTGATGCTTCTGTTGCGCAGGTGCACAGCTGGTGCTTGTGATGCCTGAGCTGGTTGGAGTGATGGCTAGCTCGATGACAATCAAGGCAACAGTTGGCGCCGCTGGTGCTGATGATGCTCGAGATGGGCTGCCCATCGCCTAAAAAGCTTCGCAAAGGACAAGTGCAGCTGATGCGCTTGATGGCCCAATCTCAATTCAGGCAGCTGATGCTTGTGATGCGCAGCTTGGGTAGCCCGATCGCATTCAACGCAAAAATTTGCTCATCTGATCGTGGCGTTCTTCTGGGTGGCTCTTAGGACTTTAACTTTTCAGGTTTCTATATGAAATACAATAAGCAGGCTAAAGTTAAAGTATTACGAGTGTTTCAGAAGTCAGCCAAGTGATGATCACGATGCTCGAGTTGGGTGGCTCGTCGCCAAAGGTTTTGCAACGATCAAGGCAAAAACTGGCGCAGCTGATGTTGTGATGCCCTTTGGGTGGTGTGATGCTTGGGTCTCGGGTTGCGTGCCCCGTCGTCCAATCTTTGCAAAGGTTGGATGGCCCCGCTGTCCGAAAGGGAAACGTGTTCGTAATTTTTGATTTGGGGGAACATCTTCCAGCCGTGGCTACCGCCGACCGCTTTGCTGTGAGGCTTCAAAGACAGCAGCAGCCAGAGAGGATGGGAGAGTGTAGCTACCGTAGCTGCTGGTTCAACCCCCACATGAATCACATTGCCGAGACCGTGGGGGCATGGAGACCGGCACACCATGGTGTGTTCTGGTGCGTGCAGAAGTCTGAGAGCTCGAAACCTCGTTTTATCCTGCCGCACAGCTTCCTCAAGGCTGCAGCAAGGATTCACACTGGTCTGATCACTTGCAGCGGTCAAGAGACAAGAGAAAGAGGGACGAGGGAAGCACGAGAGACCTAGAAGCAGAGTGGCCTGCAGACTGCCTGCGGCCAGGGACCAGAGAGCCGCCGGACCAGGCGCAAGACTCACAAGCTCAGAGCTTTTGAGCGCTGGGAGCTCCGCTGGCTGCGCTTTCGAGGCACCGCCGACGAGCCTTCCGGACTTGTCAGGAGAGGGGCGTCATGAAACACGGAAGCCTGAGCTTTTTGACTTCGCCCCTATGCGAGGACCAAGCGATGTTCACAAATCACGGTCTAGCAACATGATTACCTCCCACCTCTGAAACATGGCTGCCGCCTGCGCTACGCAGATTCGAGCACCAAAAGGGGAGACTGTCAGGCTTCGGCAGGCTCGTGCGCAACAGTCGCCCCGCCCTTCCGGCAGTCCCCTATGTTTAGGTTTCAGAGATTGTCGAGTTCTGTGGAATTCCGTTGAAGAGTGTCTCCCCCAAAAGGGGTGGGGCAGGGCTTCGACTGAAGGCTTAGTGTACAGACACGGGTACGAGCGGTGGAACGGAACATGGGTACTGCTCGAGGGATGATAGGGAGTCGAATGAAGTGTGGCAGTCAGCCTGAAATATATGTTCGGCGCAGTATCAGCTTCCACACATCAGACTGCTTCCAGCATCTTTCCGTTCCAGGATTCTCCTTGAAGAGTACTTTAGAACCCCACCTAAGTAACTTGCTCTTATCCCTTTGCCTCAGCCGGCTTACATCTGAGGCAAATTGAGGCAGCACTGCCATGGCCGTCGCTAAGATCTTGGCCGCTTCCAACCCCTTTGCGCGCTTGGAGCTCGAGCCGGAAGCTGTAGACGTGGCTGTCGTGCGAAGCCATTATAGACGACTGGCGTTGGCAGTGCATCCGGACAAATGCAAGGACTCAACTATTGGAAGGGGCAAAGATAGGAGGACAAGATGTTAGTGATGTAGGGAAGACCACTGGTTTCTGTGACAGGAGCCCAAAGCCAAAGAGGCGTTCCAAGCCCTCAGCGAAGCCTTTGAGCGGCTCTCTTCCGCTGTTGGCCAGGCACAGTCTTTGAGGGAAGCAGGGCTGCAGGCCAAAGCCGCCGCCGCCAAAGCCAAAGTCAGCAGACGACGGGGACAGGAACCGGAGGCTGAAGGCTGTTTTCGGCCCCCGACGGCAGAGGAGCGGAAGGCCCGTTGGTGGGACACGAAGACCTGGGAGGAGTTCGAAGAGCGGCTGCGGCACAGGGAGCGTGCCGAAGCAGCCCTGCGACTCCGCTACTGCAGCGGCTTGCGGCTGCGATTTTCCACGAAGAAGATGCGGGAGCAGGTCCGTGCCGCCGAGCGCTCGGTGGAGCATTTGGATAGAAACTGCGGCTTGGCGGAGAGTTTTTTGTGGCCGCCGGAGTCTACGCAGGCGGCACGAGACTTGGAGGAGGAGGTGGCCAAAGCGCGGCAGACCGAGCCCTGGCCCGGCGCAGCCAACGAGCTGCTGCCCGACTACAACGAGCGTAGCGAGCTGAATGACCCTCAGATGGCCCTCCAGAGGCTCCTGGAGCTGCTCACGCACCTGCGCGCCGTCCACCGCTACTGTTTGTTCTGTGGATGCACCTACGACTCGCCTGAGGACATGGAAGAGAATTGCCCCGGCATCACTGAGGAGGAGCATGAGGAAGCCAGCTCTGCCGGACTTAGAAGTTCACAGAAGGCTGCTCCAGCCCCAGCTCAGCCAGAGGACCCCCAACTGGAGGAGGATCCGCTGGAGGCTTACATGGCCTCTGTTGACGCCGAGGCAGAGCGACAGAAAGGAAAACGCAAGAGACCTCGCTGAGCCCCGAAAAAGACAAGCTGGTTTACGGCGCGAGGATGCCACAGGTCTTGTGTGACAGGTCCGTTCTTGGTGTTGCGCCTTCGGTTCCAGTGCAGCCGAGAAGGGCTCAGATGGGGCATGAAAGGACATGGAAGGCATGTCGCTGCTGTACTGGTAGGATGGAGACTGGGATGCTTTCCAGCGACTTGCGGGACAGAAATCCACCAACAGTTTCGCGCTTAGCCCACGGCAATGGCACGTTGGGCCCCTTGGGCCTTCATCCTTTGTGCCATTTCTCTGGCCGATGCAGACTGGGCACGACTGGGGGGATTGGGGGGGAGGATGGTGGCACTGAGAGGGTTTGTAGTCCTGCGCATCGACGCATAGCTCTCCGGAGGCGCTGCTGAATTTGATTCGTCATGCGGAGCGATATGCGGACAAGTCGATCACCTACTTAGCGCCCGACGGCGAGGACCGTGCCCAGTACATCGCTCGTTGTGCTACAGAGCCTTGCCGAGAGCAGCTTTTTGGTGCAGGCAGATTGTTGTAGCGCTCGATTCCTGCTTGTGCCAAGGGAAAGGCGCCAACTTTGATGTTCCCACGGCCACCCTCGGCTCTGTTGGCAGGGAAGCGGCAAGAACTCGCCGGGCACAACTCCACACGGCCTTGGGAGACTTTGCACCCCTTGGCGATGACCCTTGACAGCCTTGGCCGCAGCTTCGTCTTTGAATTTCTTTGAAGTTTCAGTTTGCTGGAGTAGAACTCTTGGGTCAGGAAGTCTGGACTTCAACTTGACAATCATGTGGCTTAGCTGGGTTATGCACTTGCCTAGGGGCCTATATGGCCTAGGGTGTCAGCCTGACATTGTAACGAGGTGGATTTCCAGGATGTTTTGGGCTTCAAGGCCTATTTGAACAGACTTCCGAGTGGAAGCACCGTGTTGGTTGCTTGGGAGCACAAGATGATGGGCCAGCTGGCCCAGGCTGTGGATCCAGAGGGTCTCGCACCGGCAAAGTACCCAGACCATTGCGACTCAGAGTGGACAGAGCCTGAGTATACCATGGGTGCTTGCTACGATGTGATCTGGCAGTTCGTGTTGTATCGCAGCCACTCGCGAGAGAGCTGGCGGGCCAAAGCCTTTTCTCACCTGCGGATGGGCTTTGCGGGTGGAGGCTCCAAATGCTCCGAGGCTGTCGAACCCTTCTCCAATCCCAGCAGCTGGCCTCAGCTCATGGACGAAGGCGACGGCACGGGCGGTGTTACACCTGGGATGCTAGCTTGTGCTACCTTTTGCTCTCTCCTCTTCCTCATGCTTGGTCGCCTGCACGCACTTCTCCTCGAAGCCCATCAAGGTCTTGGAAAGGAGCCGCTTCTGGACGACAACCCGTCTGAGAATTACACCGTGGTCTGCTGATGGACAGCTCTGCGTGCGGAACCGCACAGACCTGTATACATAGCCAAGAAGAGATCTCGCCCTGTACCTTCAGTCGGTGAGATTTGTACGGATCTTCCTCTCAAAGAAAGGCTCCTACAATCTTGCAACGAGTGACTCACATGAAACGCAAGAGGCCCACCTGTACAGTAGCTTTTCCGATGCCTCACAGTGCTTCCGAGCGGAGCCCCCTTCGTGCCTGAGAATCAGGAAGAGGAAGCGGAGGCTCAAAGGCTCGGAGCCCTTCCCCTGGCTTTTGATTCCGGGGGCTGTCGAGGCTGCTGTCGCATTTCAGGTGCCGCGTGATTCGTGAATTTAGTACCTGCCGCTTGTTGCGATCATGACGGCTGAAGGAAATAACATGCCAATCCCGCCGGTTCTGCATCTTGTGCAGCAAGATTTCTGTCCGCAGACATCAGACCCACACTTTGTCAACAAACATCTCGTTTACGCGAAGGAAATTATGCCGCTGAACAGTTGGGTGGGCAGGCCAGCCAATGTGACGTCCGCCGGCTCCCCGCCACGACCAAAGATACCAAATCCCAATCTCCCAATCCCTTGTCCGATGCACAGTAAATTCGGGCTCCCACTGCCCTGACACCACGAAACCATAGGAAACATTTCGAAAACTGCCCTGGCCATGAGAAATAATGTGAAACATCTCGAGTACTGCCCAAGCCACACGAAACTATATGAAACATCTCCAATACTGCCCAAGCCCAAGCCACAAGAAACCACATCAAGCATCTCGAATACTGCCCTGGTCACACGAAGCCACTTCAACATCTCGAGCATGCCTTGGCCACACGAAACCACATGCTATGGCAACAAATCATTACTTCGTAGCATTAGGGCACCACTTCGAGGCCAAAGCAACGGCAATAAATCAACCTTGTTTGGCAATGGCGCACCACTTCGAAACCAAAGCAACGACAACAAATCGTAGTTCTCAATATTGGGGCACCACTTCGACGGCAACAAGTCGTTCTTCTCAGTATTGGGGCACCACTCCAAGGCCAAAGAAACGGCATTACATCGTACATCTTAACATTGGGGCACCGCTTCGAAGACAAAGCAACGGCAACAAATCGTAACAAATCCTACTTCGTCGCAGTGGGGCACCGCCTACAGGCCAGCAAAATCGTAGTTGTTAGCACTAGGGCACCACTTCGAAACCATACTGCTTAGTATGGGAGCACCACTTCGCGGCCAAAGCAAAGACAACAAACAGTACTTCTTAGTATTGGGGCACCACTTCGAAGCCAAAGCAACCGCAACAAATCATGCATCTAAATCTAAGCAGCTTCGAGAGACCTTTATTGATTTTGAAGCGCTGCGCGGTGTCCGAACGTAGCGACGTGCATTTTGCACTAATCGCTCACTTTGTGCCGCGCGCCGTTCCGCAGAACCAGCACGCACTCCGGCAACAATGTCCTCCGGTCCGTAGACCCAAGCAAGGACTAACGCAGATCGCAAGTAGATAAAGGGTGATAAAATGTATAGCGGCGCTACAACAACACGGACTCGCTTGTCCTTGCGTATTGAAAAAGGAGGACTTGAAAGTCCACACTCATGCACTCAAGGCTTTCTCGTACTGCCGGTTCAATAATTACTTCAGGAAAGCCTAGTCAACGTAAAACCAATGTGCTTTAGCAGGTGACTGGCTTGCAGAACTCAGAAGTACTGCCCCAGGAACCACATTGGTATTTGTTTTGAAGACCGATAGCACATACGAACAAATGTGGAACCAAACGCCCTGAGTGCGAAGCAGAAGTGGAATCCTGTCAAGATTGTAAAGCAAGGCAAATGGCCTGAATTTCAGAATTCAAGCGTTGGTAAAAACACCCAAGATGTAGAAGAGCGCAGCAATACAAGAGCGGTTGACCGGCCCATCTGAAATATTGTAAACGCTACCCAAGTGCCCAGTGTGAGCTCTTATTTATGGAAATAGAAGTATAATAATATAGTGTTTGAAAGAAGCATTCGCATTGGCGAAGGAATGAATGTAATAGGATGAATAATGCATAATCAAGGATTGAATATTTGAGAAATTAATTTTTGATATGATATTTAACCGTTCCGTATATATATATATGATGGATTAGTAAAAAACAATGAGACGTAGAACTATAACCTGATAGGGGCCACGAACCCGAATGCAGACACGCGTAATATAGATATCGCATCTTGCGAAAAACAAACATCATGATAAAATGTCATGATAAATATGACCTTGTATTATCAGCCATGCCGGCGATATAAAACGCTCACGGGAACCCTGTAATATTTAATTTTTCGTGCAATCGTTGTGATACGATTCTCGTGCTGCCATGAGTCCTTGTCCAGGTATTGTCTTTAGGGGATACGATATCTGCCGTCGGGACGCGCGTTCGGTGGAGTTCCCCATTCAGAACGTCTTCGAGACGCTGTCGGAACACGCCTCCCGTGGAGTTCCCCCTTAGTTTGACGGATTCAAAATTTGCGCGATAAGCGCCTTCTGAGGAGTTACGAGCCTGTGGAAATCCCCCTTAGCTTCACGGATTCGAGACGCGCGTTTTATGGAGTTCTCCATGAACAGCGCGAGCGTTTTGTGGAGTTCCTCCTTAGCATGACGGATGCAGAACGCCGTCGGGACGCGCGACACGCTGCCACACCACGCCTCCTGTAGAACTCCCCCTTAGCTTAACTGTGCAACACGCCTCGCGTATTCTAGGGTTACCGCTTAGCTTGACGGATTCAGAACGCCGTCGGACGCGCGTTCTGTGGAGTTACAGAACGCCGTCGGGACGCGCGACACGCTACCACGCCTCCTGTGGAGTTCCCCTGTAGCATGACTGTGCGACACGCCTCGCGTCACACGCGGACGCGCGCCTCACGCGCGTTCTGTGGAGTTCCCCCTTAACAGCGCTGCGCGCAACACCTCGCGTCATACGCGGACGCACGCCTCCTGTGGAAGTTCCCCTTCGGATTCAGAACGCCGTCGGGACGCGCGTTCTGTGGAACTCCCTCTTAACAGCGCTGCGCGACACGCCTCGCGTCGCACGCGGACGCTTTGCGGACGCTTTTACAACGATCGCTGGTCACCTGCTGGACCCGTGGACCCCAACCTTCAAAACGGGAAACCTTCTGCGCAGCATTCGGGGAGAAAAAAAAAGTATGACAAAACAGCATGACAAACGTGACCTTGTGTCATCAGCCATGCCGGCGATGCAGTACACTCACGGGAGCCATGTAAAGTTCAATTTTCGTACATCTCCTGCAATCGTTGTGATACGACTCGGGTATTTCTTGAGGGGAGGCGAGAACACGCCTCTGTGGAGTTCGCCCTTAGCTTGAAGGATTCAGAACGCACGGAACACGCCTCCTGTGGAGTTCTCCCTTAGCTTGACGGATTCAGAACGCAGGCGGGACGCGGGTTCTGTGGAGTTTCCCCGCGCGACGCAGGTTCTGTGCAGTTTCCCCTTAACCAGACGCTGCGGGAATACGCCTCCTGTGGAGTTCCCCCTTATAGCTTGACGGAGTCAGAACGCAGGCGGGACGCGCGTTCAACGCTGCCGGAACACGCATGCACCTCCTGTGGAGTTCCCCCTTAGCTTGACGAATTCCGAACGCACGGAACACGCCTCCTGTGGAGCTCCTCCTTAGCTTGACGGATTCAGAACGCAGGCGGGACGAACTTCCCCCTTAGCTTGACAAATTCAGAACCACGGCACACGCCTTGACGGAGTCAGAACGCAGGCGGGACGCTGCCGGAACACGCGCCTCCTGTGGAGTTCTCCCTTAGCTTGACGGATTCCGAGCGCAAGGAACACGCCTCCTGTGAGTTCCGCCTTAACTTGACGGATTCAGAAGGCAGGCGGGACGGACTCCCACTTTAGCTTGACGGATTCAGAACGCACGGAACACGCCTCCTGGGCGTTCTACCTTAGCTTGACGGATGCAGAGCGCACGGAAAACGCCTCTTGTGGAGTTCTCCCTTAGCTTGACGCAGTCAGAACGCAGGCGGGGCGCGTGTTCGACGCGGACGCGCGTTCGACGCTGCCGGAACACGCGCCTCCTGTGAAGTTCTCCCTTAGCTTGACGCTTCCTGTGGAGTTCCCCTTCAGCTTGACGGAAGGCGGGACGTGCGTTCGACGCTGCCGGAACGCCTCCTGTGGATTTCCCCCCTCTTGACGGGGTTCTGTGGAGTTTTACTTTAGCTTGACGGATTGAAAGGGCAGGCGGAACACGCCTCCTGAGGAGTTCCTCCTGAGCTTGACGGATTCAGAACGCAGTCGGGACGCGCGTTCCATGGAGTTTCACTGTAACAGCGCTGCTCGACAAGCCTCGCCTCACGGATTCAAAACGCAGTCGGGACGCGCATTCTGTGGAGTTTCTCCTTAACAGCGCTGCGCGACACGCCTCATTCAAAAAGCAAGGGGAACACGCCTCCTGTGGAGTTCCACCTCAGCTAGACGGATTCAGAACGCAGTCGGGACGCGCGTTCTGTGAAGTTTCACCTTAACAGCGCTGCGCGACACGCCTCGCGTCACGGATTCAGAACGCAGTCGAGTTGTTCCTCACCCGATGTCGACTCTGCCTACACCGTTCTACTCCTCCTACACGCCAAAAGTGACAGGCTTGGAAGCTTTACAATCTCTAACTTCGGAAGCCTTGTTGCAGACATGGTCTTTGCTTGCTCCCAAACCCTAAACCCTGAACCATGACTGACACACACCCAGGTTCTACACTGTACTACTTGTAAGTCTTCTTGTTGCCCTTGCTATCTTTTTGTGGTTTCCAGATCCTTGCAAAAGCTGCCCATAATCAAAAAGGGAGCCCCTTTCTATTCCCAGGTTACTGGGCTCGTGGGGACTTGTTTCGTTTGTTCCGTTCTGGGGTTCTGGTTTGACCTATGGGGATCCCCAAACTGCCTCCAACACATGGGTAATTCTCTCAATTGGGGCCCCTTCTAGGGCCCCGTGTATAAGGGTGTTGTACTT